CTAGGCGCCAAAGCCTTAGCCTTAAATCCGAAACCCCTAGCCCTGACTCCTACATGACCTCTCAAATCCGACATAGCCCCTCAACCTTGAACCCTTAGCCCTGAATCCTAAGTCCCATAACACTGAGTCCAAAACTCTCAACCCTGAGTCCTAAACCCTTATATAACCTTGACTCTACATATCCCGTTAAACCTAAATCCTAAACTTCTTACATAATCCCTTAAGCCTGAGTCCTAAGCCCTCAATCCAAGGCAGCTGGAAAGGGCTCAGGCGCAGCAGGCTCAAAGTCAGGAGCTGGCAGAGCAGAAGGAGCGGCAGCTGCAGCCCAGCTGCTTCAAAGAAGAAGAAGGGTTTAGGGTTCCTCTAAAGGGATTATATAGGGGTTGTATAGGGATGATGGAAAAGGAAATGGAAGCTACTACTTAGGGACAGAGATTTTTAGGGACACATAAGGCTAGACAGTGCTCAGGGTTAAGTCTCAAGGAGCTTCAGGAAATGCCCATTGCAAAACCGCAAAGTAGTAGGGGCCAAGGCTTTCCAGAAACTCACGCGTGAGCAGCTGTGCCAGGTTATGTGCGGAGTACCCGAGGATTTTTGCAGATGGTTGGTCTATGGGTGCTTCTTGCAGAAATTCTTCCGGCTCAAGGGGTATCACAGGGTTTTGACATGGAAGTTTCCTTCAATAGTGGGATCCCAACTATTATAATCCCTGGCATGAGAACACCCGAAATAAGGGATCCCTCATTTTTGGAACCACCCAAAAGGCACATTTTCTCCTGCAGATACTTCGAGGGCAGGTTGGAAAACAAGCTTGAAATCCTTAACCCCAAACCTGGCCTGCGAGGGCAGGCCGTCTGTTCTGTAGAGGACCGAAGCTTAGGAATTACACTGGCGCCTCGGGGTATCTTGTACTTAACTATCTCAGGATCAGAGGAAAACAGCATTGGCAACTTACCAGTATTGTTCGCCTGTCGTCCTGCGATAGTTAAAGTACAACATACCCCGAAAACCTATTACCGGTTCATAGGCCGGGTTTTACAGGAATGGATATGCAGCTCTTCGTGCATGACAATCTCCCACCTCACCCCGTATAATGCTGATAAGGACACCATAATCCCTTGAAATACCCTAAACCCTCAACCCCTAAACCCTCTTATATCCCTAGCTAGTCGCCTCCCTTATGAGACGCTCGAGTGTTTAGGGCTTAGGGTATCCGACCATGCGCTTGTGGACACCTAGGGCAGACCTGGTTCAGGATTAAGGACAGAGGGCAGTTTAGGGTTTTGGGTGGCATCCTAAGGCACAAGGGTCCTCTAACAGCGAACCGCTGCCCGGTTAACACAGAGGAGGAGCCATGGTTAAGCAAAAGCTCCCAAGGCCCCGTATAGACAGCCCTAGGAGCTGGGAAGGTACTCTACACTCTGGCGGTTCCTGTGTTTTATGTGGAGTCCCAATAGGTACTGCTTTTAGTACCCGTAAATATTATGTGCCGTAATGTAATGCATACCCAGTATAACCAAACGGGTCCATAATTTTGAGAGTAGCAGCCATACTAATACAAGGCATAGAACGCCATAATTTTTGATAAAGCCTAGGTTGCTCAACATTTCGGAACCAGATCATTCTGAAAAAGCCAACCTCCTTTCAAAACCCCCTCTTCACTCCCCACCCTGAACCCTTGCTCTACCCAAGACCCTTCACCCCCGTTCTACGCTCCTGCATACTCCCAAAGCAGACGAGGCAAAAACTTCAGGCGGACTGCCGTAGCTTCAAAGCTACCATTCAGGAGCACGAGCCCTGACCTGTTTATCCCTTCTCAGGGTGCTAAATCCTAAACCCACCTCCAGGGTCATGAATTTCAATGGGGTTTCCCAAAATTAGTGGTACACCTTTGGGGTCCCCATAATAAGGACTGATGTATTTTGGGCTCTATATTGGGGTCCCCCTATTTTGGGAAACTACCGAATATTCTCAATCCTTTACCTTCATATATGAGGGGGAGTTTTAGGGATGTAGCATTAGGGGATGGGGAATAGAGTTCTCATGGATTCTACGGGGCTGCCGACATCTTGTGAATCGTGCTGAGATGGATTGCCGATAGCATAATGATCATGGTTTTCGTTTTTTTGGTTGCGCACAGTATGAGTGACATACCTGTGGTAGTGGTCTTGCGGTCTCTGGCTGCGCTTCCAATAATTCCGAGAATGTTTCATTGTGGCATTAGGGTGGGCCATCGTCCTACCATTTACTTGCTTACCTGTCAAGCGTTGGCGACAGCAAAGGTCCTCAAAGGCATGGCTGCCTAAACCCCAAACTCCAAATCTTAACCACCAAACCTTAAACTTTCAGCAATAAGCCCCAGAAGCAGGAATTTCCTAGAGGTTGGTGCGCCAGATTCCTGCACCCCCACCCCAATACTGCAGAATCAAATGGAAAAGAAGATGGATAATGAAATGCAAGCCCTAGGTCCCTTAGAGGGACATGTAGGGCTTGGGGGTTTGCCTAGTGGAGGGTCAATTGAAAAGAAAACGGATAATGAAATGGAAGCTCCAGTATATGTAGGGGTATCACTCCCCACGCTCTCTAGGATTGTAAGAACGCATGTTCGTCTGCCGGTTCCCTAAACCCTAAACCCGTAAGGGCTCAAGCTCAAGCTTTTGGCGCACAACGTGTTTCGCTCTCAGCGCAGCGCGGAGTGTCAGCGCAGCCATGTACATGCGTGCTGTGGGTGTGAATCTGGAGTGGAACTCTACAGCACCCGTGTCTTCGCAGCTTGGTGCCTTCCATGATGGTGGTGCCGGTTTGTTCGGCGAGCAGACTGGTTATGTCAAGCCGACGCAGGCCGCTCGTGGCGTTGTTCCAGGGCAGTTGCAGAGGCCGGCATCCTTCGAAACGTCGACCTGGACTGTTGGCTACAACAAGGCCAGCTACGGCCACCCGGAGCTCTGCAGCAGGCCTTGTGTCTACTGCTTCAAAGGCCAGCGATGCCCTGCTGGATTGGCGTGTGGGTATTGCCACCTCCCACATGAGACAATCGGCGTGCGACCCAACAGGCGCTTCCGAGAGTTGCGTGCTGAGGTCACCGACCAGCAGCTCCTAGTAACCTTCTTGCCCTACATTCGGTGGAAGGCCGAGGTGAAGGGGCTTCTTCCCTCAGCCTCGCATCTCATTGCTCTCCTCGAAGCTGAAGTCATCGAGCCCTTTGCGCCGAGGATCCGGGCGAAGATCAAGGCCGAGAACATGTCTTTCATCCACCTCGTGGAGTGCAGCATGCACCACCTACCTCCACACATCCGAGCTGAACTGGAGCGTTTGAAAGCCACCATGCCTCCACCTGAGCTGAAGGCTTCAGCACATTCTTTGTCCATCGTCATCTAGAGGGCCTAGAGCTTTGGGTTAAGATGAGGGCCCACGGTCTAGAACGCCGAAGAGGGCTCGGACGCGAGGGGTGCTTTGTAATTGGGCAGGCCTAGATGGCGTCTGCCGATGCAGGACTCATCAGACCCCCCCCCCTCCCACAGCAGGCACCCAGCTTCCCTTGTCAAATCGAATCATGCAACCTCTACACATTGCCAGAGCACGCTGCCAGGAAGATTTGATGGTTAGGCGCGTCCTACCACTTGAAAGAGTAGGAGGGGGGGGCGCCAAACATTTTTCAACATTTTTCTTAGCAGCCATCGGACAGCGCAACTTGTTGCGTGCAACACCGGGCAGATCTCTTACGCAATCCTGGGCCAGGAAGGACATGAAGATACCTCAGGAGTATCACCTCTTGCAAGTAGCTGAACTTCAAACCCCTGTATCATGAACAGCTACATGCAAATCTCCAATATAACCTTCCTGCTCCATGCTTATTGTGTCTCAACAGTTATACGCTCCCCCACCGAAACTAAGCCGGACCTCCCCAAAAGGATCTGATAAAGACTAATTCAAGTGTCTTGACTGGACTTGCGTTTCAGTGTGCGGGAGTGGACAACAGCTCGGAGACTCTCTCACCCGTTTTACTTGGACGGTCCGGGGATTCGTAGTAGCAGACGGAACCTGGGACGGTTTTGGGACCCTGCCATGCCCTTGGCACTAGTCGACTTAGGTAGATATATGCCTACCTGCACAAGTTCATGGATCCTCCATCTAGTTTCACCGCAGAAGGTTTCCCTGAGGAGACCATGGAAGGAATGGAATCTGTAATGCCACTTCAACACTACGCGAGCTACTCCTTTCTGACTGAGGATGTTGCCCCAGCACAGACTCCACTGGTGTAGCTCACATGTTGTGTTGGACCTGAAGCACAGGTCCGCATATAGCTACAGAAGCAAGAACACCTTCACCATTGGGATGTTGAAATACATTCCAGTGTTGGCTGGCCCATAGAGTCCCAAGTAGCCAGACAGGGAATACTATTCTCGCATCATAAGGTCTGGGGTACCAAATTATCCTCTACCCTACTACAGAATCAAGTGATTATGGGATATTACGGTCTATTATATTGTACTCATGATGCTTTGGAGCTGCGGGACGGGTCAGCATCAAGCAGAGAGGCAATTGCAATTCAATATGTCCAGGGATTCAGTTGAGGAGGGAGCCCAGTCGCCCTTTTGCTTGGCCAGGCTGGCATCATTGACTTGGTTGAGATCGAAGGCCTAATTTCAAGCAACTGTCCTTTTTTAATGTTCCGCCATTACAAGTTGGGTCATACGCCTAGTTGCAGGAATGTGCAGTACCCTCCATGTCGTTTCACCCTTGAAGCGGCTCCCTCGGGAGAACATGGGAGACCATGCGACGCGTGAAAGCCTGCGAGACCCGTCTCCACATTGGAACATAATGTGAGCTACGAAAACCTCAGACTATTCGGGTGGACAGAGAGAGGCTTCTGGCACTTAAAAATCTCCTGGTATCAAATCATCCTCTACCACCGAATCCACAAGCGTAGCTCACCTGCAGCTTTTGGAGCTGCTGCACGGGTCGGCATCAAGCGGAATGCCAGATGTTTTTGGAAGCTCATGGCCTGCCCCCGTGGGCATTTTGCCAAGCTACGAACTCTGGACCGCGTATTTTGGGTGAAGCCCCATTTCTAAACCTTATCTGTCTCCCCCAAGACCTGAGACCTAGCATGAGGCTTAGTAGCTTAACCCTAAACCCTGAATGAAGGAGAGCCTGCTAGCTTGCTTGGTGTTTCGTTCCAAAGCTAGTACTAATGGCAATAATAGGGGTAAAAATAATAGCAATAGCAATATTAGTAATTGATAGTATGTTGCATTTGCTTGCTGACTGGACACCCCTGGCCTTAGTTGTCTGTATGCCACAGGCAACCGGTAGCTAGGCTCCGGCTTCCGGATCGCGTTGGGGTTCCCGGGTGAAGTAGCGGGGGTGGATGGGGTCTAGGTTCGGGGCTTCTGAAGCTGGATAGTTGTGCTGGAGCTGTGGAATGAACCGTGCTTGCTCATGAGATGCGCGTGCCTAAACATAGCCTTCTTGCAGTGCCCGCCCGCATTCCCTGAGCTCATACTTGGAGGGTCAGAGGGACTTGGTAAGCAGGTGAATAATGGGCTTAACTGGGATTACTACGTGTCTTAGATCCGGGTTCTATGTATAATTACTAAGTTGCGCTGACCCTCCAATATACCATAATATGCCATAATATACTACAATATACCATAACACATTATAATTATAATGTACTATAACCTCGATTGGATTTTGTTGGCCTTGCTCTGCTGCTTACAACTCCAAGAACACTCTGTAAAGCCCATAACCCTTAAAGCCTAGACCGTACTATCTCTGCAATAACCCTACATATCCCCGTATTACTCATAATTAAGCCCTTTAAGCGCACCCCTAAGTTTAGGAAACCCCATTGGCTCTCAACCCTGGAGCTTTTCAACCCGAAACGCCGAATGCCTCAGGTGCTGGGAGCTCTCTGATCTGCAAGCCTAGTCGGGAATGGGAGAACCAATCTCTGTAGCAGTCCCAAGCAAAGCCCCCATCATAACCTGCAGAATGGTCTGCACAACCTATTTCCCAACTTACAAACTATGAACCCTGATTGATATCGCAGCTTCCAGGGCAGCTTCCATTTGTTCATGTGCTCCTATTGCCTCATACCCAACTAACATGAGCAAGTTGAAGAGAAGCCAAGGAGCATGCCCAGAAAGAACTGCGGGACGTCCAGAGCCAGAGGAGCAAGGTGCTCCAGCCATATTCCCCAACCTGGGTTTTACTGAATAAGGGGGGCCCCAAGGGGGCCCCAGGAAGACATGGAGAGCATTTTTTTATAGGGATCCTTCTAGGGGCCTAATTATGCTGGAGCTACTGTATCGGAGAAATTCCCACAACCTTTTGGAGTTCGGAGTTTTGGAAGAAGACTAGAGCCCCAAATGCTACACTGCTAGACAATCTCCGCTTCTGTGAAAAGCAGTAGCAACACAAACAACAGTAGCAGTAGTCATGGCAATAGTTAGAGAGTAAAAATATCCGGAATTGCCAAGTACTTGCAACCGTAGTGATGTTCAGTGGTGATTCTAATTGCAACAGGAATACGTGTCATTTCTACTGCTATTCCTCATCGAAACTAGATTTCTAGCATCATTGAGGTGGTCAACCAGAAGCAGTTGGAGATCGAGCAGCTCATGGAGGACACTTTAGCTGGACAGTTTAGCGGCCAATATATATATATATATAGAATGCGGCTTTGGGATAGGTAGAGTACATTGCATTGTGCTAACGCATACAGGCGCTGTTAGGGAATGGTTTGCCGTCTGAGTTTGGAAGACTCATGCTGTGAATTAGGCTCGTCCTTAGCCATGGGTCTCTGGAAAATTGGGAACGCTGAACCCCAAACTTTAAACCCTAAGCCCCAAACTGAAAAAACAAACACCAAACCCTGAACCCAAGGCGCTGAACCGTAAGCCCAAGGGTCGATTTTTCCTGCTCAAAGGCGGCTGACCTTCGGGCCTTTCCGGTTTGCAGGGCTGTTGTTGATTCAACAGAAAATTGCGGTTTCCGAAAATTAGGGTTCCGTGTTGGGCGTCCTCATAGTAAGAAGTGTGTAGTATTTTGGGGCTTATATTGGGGTCCCCATATTTATGGAAACTGCCAAATGAGGCAGTAGCCCACAATCTCACTTCCAGCGCATAGTCCCGACGCAACCCTTAGGCAAGCCCATCCCCCAAAACAAGCTTCCACGCAGGCATTTTATTTCTGCAAGCTGGCAACCCCATGTAGCCAAGCACGTTTTGGGGTTCTGTGTCAGGTTGGGGCAGAGTACCATCCTTCTCTTGGAGGTTCAAGAACCTCTTGAAACCGCCCCTGCCGTCTCGAGGACAATCGCCTCCTTCGCGTTGCTCTTGAGGACTTGGAGGAGGAAAGGAGTCGATTCCTGGCCCCTGCAGCCTGTTTGGAGGTCTTGATGATGTGGGTCATAGCGTATTGGGTTAGTAATGCAATGAGGACCCCTCTCTTTGAAAACTCTCAAATTTCCCCCAGGGGTGTCCAGAAAGTAGTTTTCAGCTTTTCTTCTTATAAAACCCACCAAACAAAGTTAAGCAGATATTTAGTGAGGGACCTAGAGTCATTCTGAGCTGTCGTACATCTGGTATCCGAATTCTCCGAGTAGTCCGTGTAATCTGTATACACATAGATATGAACGATCTGCTGGTTTAAGGAGGGAACTGAAGATTGGTTTCCAACGGTATATCAGACATACTCTTATGAGTTCATGAGACTTCCTTCCAAGAGCCTAGGGGTTTCTTAGTGTGTTGATGAGAATGGTGAATAGCGCCGCATTCCTCAAAGCACTAGTTGCCCGATGTGCTGCAAAGTGACCCAAAGGTAGGGTTTCAGGTTTTAAGGCTTAGGGCGTGTGCCGTTGCCGGGAGGCCGAGCCTGCAGCAACAAGGTAGAGGGCTTTTGGTTTAGGATTGTACTTCGCATGTGAATTGTGCGGGGCATATCATAACCACCTCACCCAATGTCACCCAATGATGGTCTTGACAATTTCCTGCATTTTGGATTGTGGCAACTTCGCCAGGAAACCTAGGTAGAGAATACCCAAGGTAACCAGACCAGGTCTTATGGTCAACACCCTCCTTACAACCCTAAACTCTAAACCCTAACGTCGAAACCCTAAACCCTATCAGCCCAGACTGAGGCCCTGGAACGAAGCCTTCAGCTCTCCCAGGAGGATTGCCTCTCATTGCGACGTTCCTGCGCTGATTTTTCAAATGTGTGGGGGGGGAGGAAAGGAGGCATCCTTTTGACTGTGTTATAAGTGATCATCGTGTTACATGGGTATATAGGGATTCATATATGCATGCATACATATGTGTGTACATAAAGGATATACGGGGGGCAGGAATTTTGCAAATTAGGTGCCTTTTGTTGGCGTGCAACCTCCCTAATGATGATTTCAGTAAATTCGAGTCCGTATTGGGTTCCCCCATTGATGGAAGGTACAATCCCAGTTCCCGTTTCATTTTCGATTTGTTTTCCATTGTTGTGGTATTTTCCCTGTAGACCACCTGGGTTTGTATTCGAGCTTCTCAGCTTGGAGTTGGGTTGGGCTGGGGGGTTGGGGGCGGCTATGAGCTTCTGGTTGTTGGAACCCTGCTTCCACGACCAAGAGCGCAATCTATGACCGATTAGGTGCTAACTTGAGTGACTGTGGTGCTATCTGGATCTGAGCTATGGTCCCTGAATGGGTTTCTATGGCCTTCCACGGTAAATGAGAAGGATCCCAGGATTCGGGGGCTACACTGTGACTAGGGGCCCACAGTTCCAACCTTAGATTCAGATATGGGCATGCAGCTCTTCTGCTCCAAGTGGATGTATACGTGGGGGTTACAAAAATTAGGGGTACCTTTTAGGGCTTCCCTATGAAAGGATAATACCATATTGAGGTTTACATTGGAGTCCCCCAAGTTTGGGAACCTACCAGGTGGCATACCCTTACAGTCCTCTTGAAATTGTTGGTTGCATACCGTACCTCTAACATCCCCCAACAGCCTCTCCCGTTCAAGTTTCTGAGGCTCCTGACTCTAAGCCCAAGATCCTGCCACTGAAGCCTGCGCCCTAGACCCCAAACCACTTAATGTCAAACCCTGAAACCTAGACTTAGACCACAATCCCTGAACAAGCACAACCTTCAACTTCAACCCTGAACCCTGACCTAAACTTCAACCCCAAGCCCGAACCTCCTCGAGAAGTTGAGGCTCTGTGGAAGAGCTTGAGGCCCAGAACACCGCGCACGTGGAGGCTTTCACCTCTTCTTATTGGTGTTAGTAGGGAATACGGGAAATATATGTTGAGTGTAGGGTTCAGGGCTTGGGTTGGCAGGGACTAGGGGACTATATCATGTAGGGAACATGTAGAGATTATGTTCATTCATTCCGTGCTAACTTTTAAGAAATAAGTCTTGTCCTGTTGAGGGCATTCTTTAATTAGAATGGTGCATATGGATCGTCAAGGATCTCTAGCGTTCGAGTAGGCCTAAGCAAAGCCATTATGAAAATGGAGAATTGAAGAACAAATACTTGACCCTGAGTTTATGTAGGGCTTTTTAGAGGCAGTGTAAATCCTCAGCCAAAACCCTGTTCAATTTAGTTCCCATAGAGGAGTTCTTGGGAAAGGTAGACCGCAGTGCCCTGGGGACCCAAGAATTCAAGGACATATGAGGAGCGGAGCGTCCTTCTTACGTTATATAAGTTGTGTTATGAGAAAGTTCCAGTTGCTTGAGGACATGAAGGATAGTCTGGAGAAAATTCTGGATCGAACTGCTCTGAGGACCATATATAGTAGCAATATAGCATAGGTGGGTCGTGCTGGGCTTATGCCTGGCACATGAGGGGATGATCTAGCAGCTATGTAGGAATTCAGCAAAAATTAGACAGGCCGCGACTTGGACTTCCCAGATACCCGTAACCGTAGCCTGAATTGTGTTCGGCGGTCATGATGGGCTCTAAACCCTAAACCCTAAACCCTAAAAGCCCTAAACATTTTGGCAGTCTAGATAAACCACACAAACTGGTTCAAGGCCCAACGTCGGCTTGCTAGCGACTGCAAGCACCTCCGAAGCGCCGCTGGGGAAGGGCTTGCTCTTGCTAAAGTGGGGTGGACTAGGGGGTTTAGGGTTTAGGGCCCCAGAAGCACAGTTTGGGTTTAAGGTTTGGGGTGGGGATCATATTCTGCTGTTTCACTCTCCCATTCACCTTTAACTTAAGCACCAGTAAGGAGGCGAGTCAGTGTTTAGTTCAAGGCTTGTTGGCGGCTTCAAGTTGCTTTTGGGGCTTTGTTGAGGAAACTTTCCCTGCTGAAGCTTGCAACCATACCTGGAATCATCCTCGGACATTTTGGACCGAATTCCACTATTGCTGATTGCCTAAGTTTGATTGCCTAAGTTGTGCAAGATTTCCTCCATCCACCCTATGTCGTGGGCTTTTGGGCTTCACGACTTGATGCTGCTTCCTGACGTGGGGGGTCAGGGGGACTTAGTAAGTATAGCCATAACCCTATAAGCCGATAATAACTCCAGATGTCCCCATTAATTATTGACCTGCTTACGAGTTCCCCTGATCCTAAACCGTAAACGATGAAGTATGTCCTCGTAGTTTCCTTTTTCCTGTTCATTCCTCCTTTCCTGAATCCCCCTAACCCTGCCCACAGAAGCAAGGTGCTCTGAAACAGCGCGAGCAAGCTGAGAAGAACTTGCAACTCGCTTGAACCATTCATGCTCTAGGCTTTAGGATTTGATGTTGGGCGCTTCGTGTCCTTTCCTTACGGGCTTTTAGTACATCAGGAATAAGGGGATCTAGTTTGTATATATAGTCTATACACTGTATTCCCAGATTTCCGAATATAATCCAAATATATACGCTATTGTGAAGTAGTAGTGTTGTTCCTATTAAACCCGTAAGATTTTGTACCCCTAAACCCTGCACCTTAAGCCCTGAACCCTAAACGAGGGTCCAGGGGCTACCACCCAGAGAGAGAAAGGTCTTGGTGCTTTCAAGGCTTTAGGGTTTGTGACTTGCCGCACCTTGTTTGATATTTGGCATGTTTAGGGAATAATGGAATATAATCCCTACCTAATTCCCATATAATGTATTCCCTCAGGTGGTTTTAAGCACCCCTCACCCAACCAAACCCTAAACCCTAAACGTTACCGGGGTTTAGTAGGCAATACGGGAATGGGTGATGTATGTTCTATGCAGGGATTTTATCCCTCGTTCTTACAAACATCAAGTTGCAGAAGCAACAAGGCAAGCGGCCCTGAGCGAGCAGAAGCGATTGCGAGCAGTCGATGAGGAAGATGCCGAGCGACGGTGCCCTGGTTTGGGCTTGGGGTCTACGGGTCGGGGTATGGTTCAGAACTGGAATTCGGCAATAGCTGGTATCTCCTTGATAGCGTTTTGGTAGCATTTTGTTGCCGCTAGTTAAGCCGCTAGTTAGTCAAAGTGCTCCAACTTCTGACCCACAAACCCTACACCACCGTTGACGTTCTCAGATCCGAGTAGTCACTCTCATGTTTCCTTACGGTAACCGAAAGACGCATTCCATGGGTCAGCTTTTTGGAGCAGGGCTGCTGCTCAGAATGCTTCCGGGCTCTCTCCATCCAATCTGAATTGTACAAAGAGCTTGCAAGCTTTTTCGGTACTTGTGGCAAGAACCCAAACAGTCCAAAAGGCTTTCCTTGGAAACGCCACAAAACGCTAAACCCCGAATCCCAGACCCTGCACCCCAAATCCCACACCATGATTCCTAAGACCTACACCCTGAACCCTAAACAGTAGCATGCCCTTTCTCTGCATTCCTCAATTCCCTCCTGACAGCCTTGTTGTTCCAAACTGATATGGCCCCCCTTTCCATGTCATTTTCAATTTGATTCTCCACTGTTGGGTTGATATCCCCTACAACCCACATATTACCCCATAGCCCTTTACAATCTCCATATAGTCCCTTTATAACCCCATACAAGCCCCTACCCCTACGTAATCCTTCTAAGATCTACGCAGCCCCTAAATAAAGCCCTAATTCCAAAGCCTAGACCCAGCCGTGACCCAGCCCCAAACACTAAACCTAAACCCTAAATAGCAGTTTCCATGTTCTCTGGTCCATTCGCCTTTTAAAACCCTGTATAACCCCATATATACGCACAGGTTTGACGAAAGCCTGATATCCAACGCAGTTCCGAAACCCTAAACCTAAACTCCAACCCCAGCCCCCAAAACCCTAACACCCCAACCCTAGACCATTAACCCTTAACTCCCACCCTGAACCCTCAACCCCCACCCTGAACCCTAACCGCGCCTTCAAGGCGAGCCAGCATATCGGACCTTGGCTCGCTTTCGAATCTTCGGCTCCCCGAGATGCCAATCCAGGCGATTCAGAGGGTTGAGGGGTTGCTTTGTACCCAGTGGGGTAATATTAGGGTTATATAGTTATATTATCGCAATAGAAGATAAGATGGAAACTGCTGTTTGGGGTTTAGGGATCAGGATTTAGGGTTCAGACTGGTTAGGGTTAAGTGTGTAGGCTGCTTAGGGATCAGGGCTTTATCCGAGAGGGGGTTGCTATTCTTGAAAGGGCTACGCAAGGGTGATATAAGGTTCAGGATTAGGTTAAAGCTGTTAAGGAATTATAGAGGTTATGCCGGTTATGCAGGGCTTTTACAATTACCACAATAATGTTGCGTCTGAAAGTGAAAGCAGAATTTCCATTCTACCCAAACTCTAGGCAGGTGGAGGTTAGGGCTTGAGGGTTTGTAGAGCCAAGGGCTTACCCATGCCACATGCCTGGTTCGGCTATCAAGAGCGTGGGTCTACCATTCGTGTTTCACGTGGTGACCAGTAGTGGTTTAGTTTAGGACTTGATAGTTTTGAGGCAACAAGCTCAGTCAGAGATGTTTCTGCTTGATTAGTTGCATGCGCTTGTGTGGACCCATCCACAAGTTGTGGAGACTTCTTCAGGTTCAGCCCCCATACCAACACTACACCCTGAACCACAGAGATGAATCTAGTAGACTGTTACTGTAATGGAGGGAGGCTCTTTACGCGTTTAAGTGTTCAGGGTTCCGGGTCTAGGGTTCAGGGTTAGTTTGGGGTTCAGGGATGAGACAGCCTTAGCGCTGGTAGGCCGCGCAGTTGCTTTAGGTTATCTTGGCGTTGAGTGTGTTGCAGTGGGACTAAGAGGAGTGTGCCTGAATTGCCCGATACATCTAACAGTCCTACAGGAAGTAACTGTCGGCATAGGCACCAAAATAGCGCAACTGTAGGCTGACATAGTCTTCTGACAGTCACGGTTCAGGGAAATACCCAAGTCTATACCTAGGTAGTATCCAAGTGAAATTGTTGTCATAGACAACACTGTTGACATGGGATATGCCTACCTAACTCCACGTTTGCTTTGCGAGTCTGCGAGACATGAGCGCTGCGAGATTTAACAAATTGATGCCCTGAACCCTTTCACCTGTTGCGCGCCTCCCACAGTTAACCTATGTGTTTGTCGTATGGGAGTGCTAGAATGGATCTCTGTACTAGCCGTATTTATGTCCAAAGGCTATAGTTGCTCTCATTGAATTTTCCATTCCATTCCTTCATTCCCTACTGATAGCAGTATTCATCTTGTTTTGCATTCCTTCATCGCATACTAACAATGAGAGCCTTGCATGTTGCATGATGGGCTAAATGAAATGTGCGCAGCTCATGTTAGTTTGATCCAATCTTCCAAGAGCAACAACACTATTAATAACAGCTTCAGGAATACTACTGCCGTAATCTTGATCGCAGCATCAAAAGTAAAGCCAAACAATGCGAAATATCAATAATGGTGAGACTAGTCGACATGGAAGTGTCCCTGCAAACGGGGACCCCAAGATAGACCCTAAACTATAGTCCTTATTTTGGGCACCCTCCGAAAAGTCATCCCTGGTATTGCTGCACCCCCCCAAATAGTAGGCATGAACAAATTCACAACGGTTTCAGTAGTGGGTTCAGGATTCAGTTCTGATGTGCATGTCATACATGCGCTCTTGGATCCTGTCTGCCCTGCATGCGGAGGGGAAAACTAAATGCGCCAACCCCGGGCAACAGGAGCCTTTATCGCGCCTCTCGCTGGGAGGGCCGCGGTCCAACGGCCTTGTGGAAGTTGACATGACAAGCCGCCGCACCAGCAACCTGGACTTCAATTCTCAAAGAGTGAAGGGTTTGGGGATAAGAGATTTACAAGGTAGAGTTTGGGGTTTACCTGTTAAGAGTTAGTACCCTCGTCCTTTGAAAGAATGCCAGGGGACTACAAGTGATCATGCCAGGGCGATACAGGGGTCACACTACAGGATCCGATGCAACTCTGGAAACCTCGCAATTCAGAGAGTCCCTCTTGCAACCCCCTAAAGGATCTAAGCTCCCAGTAGTCGCCTAGTTTCCCTGAGGGGGAGGCATTTCTTGCGAAGGCACATTGCTGATCGGAACCCAACAACCAGAACCGGGGTGGTGTTCTTTGTTTTCCCACCCCTTGCTTGCGCAGGCATCCACCCGACCTTTCTCCTTCTCGGGTTTGGGGCTGTTGGTCTTGGCGTCTTACACACAGTGTTCAATGCGAGGGGGATCTCTGACAGCTTTTCCAAGCTACCTCCACATCCTGGTAGACGAAGCTTTCAAAGGCCCTGGAAGGTTGTCGACCATCAGGTCGAAAGGTGTCTGGGAAGACCGCCAGCGGCGGGCCAGCTGGTGGGCAGGGGGAGTAGGGGCGTTTGGGGTGTAGGGTGTACCTAATTACTTACTAAGCCTCTACGTGCCCTCAAAATCTCGACAACACCCTAAAACCATAAATCTTCCTGTAGCGCCTAGGCCCAAAATCCCTCTATCATCCGATTGCCCATTTCATGTTTCATGTTCTTTTCCATTTACCTTTCCACCGTTACAGCTTCTATAACCCCTAAACCCTAAAGCGCCCGAGTCTTCAAACCCATCAACCTAAAAACCACCAAACCCCTAAATCCCCACCCCTCCTATAACCATGTCAAGGTATATATGTATTTACATAACGCTCTACATCCTTTGTAGCGTCCAACAAGAAGAGCCTAAACCCTAACTAAGCCCCCTATGAGACCTATGCATCTTCTGAGCCCAAAACCCCAACGCCCAACCCAGTTTAGGGCTTAGGTTGAGGGTTTCTCTAAACCCTAAACCCTAAACCCATCAACCATGTGCTTTTCCATTTCATCCTCTTCTGTAACCCCAAGAAGCAGAGGCAAAGCATCCTCCGTGATGGAGGTGGACATGACGGGCGACACCTGAGAGATTTTTTAGGGAAGTAGGGTTCATGGGGTAATACATGGCTTATATGGAGGTTATAGGGTTGTATGGGGATTACATGAGGAATAGGATTTAGGGTTGAGGGTTGGGGTTTTAGTCGCATAGGGCTTAGGGTTTAGGCTTTTCAGGTTTTCGGTTTTTAGCATTTGTCTAAGACGTTTGCTGTTTCCGTTCGATTTTCCATTTTTCTCCCCAAACCCTAACTGAAAGCTATACAAACCCGATAAGTGCAGGATGTCAAGAAGGTTTTTCATTTCTGGTGTCCGCAGCAGTCTTAGTTTAGAACTTCCCCCTTAATCGGTGTCACGGCAGCCTTGCCGTCCACCCCCCCTATACCAGTCTCCCGTTGGGTTCCCCATTAATGAGGGTAATTAAGGAAGATTCAGGAGCCTCCTGCCCTAAAACCTAAGACATAAACCCTGGTTAAGTGTAGCATTCAAGGCAAAGAAGCCGCCTTTTTTCACTTTGCTGTATAGGCGTCTGTGCTGTGCGAACTAACGCGTTCGGGCCCCGCCACGCGGTCCACAGCTGCACTTGCTAATGCCAAGTCGAGAAAAAAGGTGAGAGCAATACCTGCGTTGCTGTTAAAGAACTTAAGGTAAGTTACCAGAATGTGGGTATACAGTAAACACTAGGGTTTCCTTATTATAGTACCTTAATTTCAGTTCCTTGGCAGCAAACCAGATGTATGTGGAAACGCCATCCCCTGAGGATGAACGACTCCAACCTTGAATTCTCAACGTTCTCCGTATACAGCGAACACATACCTAATGCCTGACTGCTACGGCAAACTGTCTTGGGTCAGCCCATGGGTCAGCATTTGAGTGCCATAAAGGTCTGAATCGTGATTGCTCCCAATCCCTCTGATTCCTTGTAGAATCACTTCAGATACGATTCTTGGACCCTACCCTAGACCCTAAGCCCACTCTACACATGAAGTCATGGGGTTTGCCCGTCCCGTGATCCACTTGTGAAGTTAGGTAAGGCCCTAAGCCTTAAACCCTGAATCTGGGTCACGACAAGAGGAAAGTGTATACCCCTTATCCAAACTGCCCCATTGGAAGCTCCCTTCCTCTAGTTGGTCCTAAGCCCTGAGCCCTAAATCCTAATCCTAAAACTGAACACCGAAGCCTGAACCCCAACCCTAAACCCTGAACCTTGTGCAGTCTCAGAGAGTTCCTTGCCATGTCTCGCCACAGCTTGCCTTCCCGCACAGAGCGAGCCACAAAGCAACAAGGGACTTTCAAGACATCATCCGTATGTAGCTTGTAGGGCTGGACCAAATAATTCCGGCATGTTCCTGGAGTCCCTAGGGGTATCCCTATCTTGAAGAAATACCTACTGAAATCAGAGCGCGCAAGGCCCCTCATGTCAGATGCCAATTGGGCACGGTAACGTTTTAGTTGCGGATCCCAGTACCTCTAGAGTGCAGCGTTGCTAGTAAATCAGGCGTTGCTTTTCTGTGTAGGGCCCAGGGTCCATGCTCACTTAAGTAGCAGTCCAGAAATCATAGAGGCTATGGCCGTTCACCTCCTGAAGTTGTAGCCTGGACCGCCCTCTCATAGAAAAGTTGGTGCCACACCGTGCTAGACTTAGAGACATGAGCAGCATTGAAGAGCTATCCCTCTCAGGATAGCATGCTCATCTCGTAGCTTCACGCCTGCGCTGAACTCTTGCCGATGGCGGAGCCCGCGCGTGATCGCCGCCCCAACCGCCCGCCGGTGCGACTCGCCCTGCCAAACCAGGGAGAAGCAAGCTGCAACCGTTTGGCCCTTTTCCTCTCTTTCCGAAGGTCTTGTCCAGCAGAATTCAATTACAAGGTGTCAAAGGCTGTTTGCTTGTTGTCTAAGCACTCGACTTGCTATCTTGTTTGTTCAGGTCATGGCAGCCTAATCAGCGCAAAGTTTCCAGTTTCATGTCAATGCCACGAGTCGGCCCAAGGAAGTTCCGAGAGGGTTGCATGATTTTTGGCAACACTACCCTGGGTCGGAGCCTCAGAGTGCAACTTTAAAATATAGCTTAGACCCATACGATTGAACATTAAAGTCTCTGCCTAAAATGGCGTAGATCCTTTTCAAACGGGACTATCCCTCATGCATGCGCAGAGTAGAATCCTTACCATAGAGCCATTTTTCTCTCAATTTCATTGTCTCTGCCTGGTGTTCGAGAAGGAGGGTGGCAGGTTTCTTTGGGCATTAATCTATGATAAGTTGGTTGTTCTGCAAGCTTCTGCATTATCTCGTTTTGTTGAGAGAAAGCCTTGTCGCCCTCCATTCGTTCGAGGCCCGCTCCGGCAGTTATTTTTGAGAGAATGTAGTCCCCGTGAAGTTGACGTAACAATATTGGTAATCACAACAATTGAATTTAGAACAATAATATGGTAATATAGTAATCGCAATACTAATAGAGAGCTTCACTCGTGTGGTGAAGTCTTCTCTTGAAGTCTAGAGTCTTGAGATTCCCAGCGCATTTAAAGGCACAATGACTAGACTGAGTAGAAGCCTCGAAATATGTCTTGCGCAATTCGTGTTACAATGGCCCAACACACGACGCATGAGTGGTCTCCCCAACTACTTCTAGTGACCTGCATGGGCAACCGTGATTATTATCAGGATCCTTGTATACCACTACGGAAGCAAGGCATTGTTCCGATTTGAGAGCCTACACCTTGAGAAGCCTACGTGAAGGCAAGCTGACGCGAGTCGGCTAGTAACTACGACTCCTGAGCTCCACTTCAATGGTATCATGTTTTGACAAGAGACTAGAAGTCTGTGAAGCACTTGCAGGTTCATTCAGCGCTGCAGGATTACCGCAAAGAACTGGGCGAAGTGGGAGCTTCTACAAAGTTCGGGCCCCTCTATACATCCCCACGTCTTTTCTAAACCCAAGTATAATAAGGACCACCAAACGGGACTCCCAATTCTTGCCTTATGTGAAGGACGCAGACTGTGTGAAGGACGCTGACTTGGCACACTCCTCTTTTCTCTCCTAGATTCTAAATCCCAAACGCGAGACGTTAAACACTAAACCCTAAGCCTTACATGCACACTGAGGCCACACCTCCGTGAAATTCAGATCGCGGCGCCGTCCAGAGGCTACGGGTATGCCGATGAAGCCCCTGAAGTGACCGGAGGATTTTGGAAACATCAAGTTAGGTCCTGTAATTATCATATGACAACACTAGGGACTGATTATAGGTTTGGGCTTACCAAGTCCCTGAACTTAACCCTAGACTCTAAACCTTAGACCCTAAACATCTTCTATTCTGAAAGTCTGAAGAGAATTTCTTGGCTGGAGGCAGGCTCATTGTATGAGGGTAAAGCCTAGTTTTTAGGATCAGGATGCAGGATGGTAGGGACCTTGCCTTTTCTGGGTTGCTGTTAAGGAACTCAATTTAAGTTACTATATTGGGGGAACCATATTAATTACTATATATACCCATTATGGTAACTTAATGTAAGTTCCTTAACAGCAACCCAGCTTTTTTCAGTTGAAGTAGTTAGGGGTCCCTTTTTTGGAGCCCTTGCCATACATAGGCATTTAAGGGAGAAAGAACACGAGTGGGTCCCTAGGCCTACAAGCGACTCCACGCAAACTGCGTAGGAAGAACGTATGTAGACTAAGGGATTGGAAGAAGACCGGACCTTCAGGACTGGCCCGGATAAGCCAACATGTTCTCAAATTCGACCCATTGGGGTTATGTTGGGGTTATATTGGGATAATGGAAAAGAATATGGAAACTGCTATAGTATATTGCAGTTATCTTGGGGTTGTATAGGGATTATGGAAAATACTTCAAGCAGAGCCAACTTCTTGGAGTCCATCCCCGCAAGAACTGAAGCCATAAACGCGGTGGTAGAGTGCAAAGCTTACGGTTTTCGTGTACGCCACCATGGTCTTCTGTGACTGAAAAGACATCAGTATCAACCATGGCTGTGCAACGGGGAAGCCGTAAACTACGCCACTCTAAACTCTAAGTTAGAACCTGTTGGGGGTTAAGGGCTCAGGGCTCTCGGGGGTTTGCCTATAGTCGCCTCTGAAGGAGTCTTCCTACTTTTCGGTTTCTCTTGTTTGGGCAAGCCCTACATGTCACCCACTACATGTTAGTTCAGGAAATCAGGTCATGCAGGATGTTTTCCTAACCCCTAGGAACCCCAATCTAACAAGAGCATTTTGGTATCCACACCCCTATGATAGGGATCCTATAGGAGACCTATGATATTCATATGCTTCTTTTTTAGGGGAGTTGGGGCAAGCAACGTCCCCTTTATTAAAACCTTAACCCCCGCATGCCCTCATATTTCGTTATGATTATCTAAACCCTAAACCCTGTTTTGTCTCGTATTCGAGTTGTCCACCAGCTGCTTCTGGATCGGCCAGGCTCAGCCCGCAATGAGCGAAACAGCTGATAGCAATCCTGAGGCCTGTTTTGATCAACTAATACTATTATGAATATTTGTATTACTATAGTTATTATTGCTGCTACTGTTAGTGCGAGTGTTAGTGCTACTGCTACTGCTTCTACTACTATTACTACTACTGCTACTAGTACTACTACTACTACTACTACCACTACCACTACTACTACTACTACTACCACTACCACTACGACTACGACTACTACTACTACTACTACTACTGCTACTGCTACTGCTACTGCTACTGCTACTGCTACTGCTACTGCTACTGCTACTGCTACTGCTACTGCTACTGCTGTTACTAGTATTATTTCTCGGCGCGCGGCGGATAGTATTTTGTTAGGGATACGGAGGACTAGAGAGCAAGATTACATCCTCCTTTCTTGGTATAGTATTTACAGGAAGAATGTAACCTTGCTTGGTTGAACCACCAAGAAGTAACGCTACTCAGCTAGGGGTTCCTCAAAATGTGGGAAGGGCCACATGGGGCCCTTTCAATCATGATGTGGGGCCGTTGACACTAAACGCTATAAACGCTGAGCCCTAAACCTAAATTTAAATCCTTAGCCTTAGACTCTCCCTGGACTCTCAACTCTTAACCCGAAATCCTAAACCTTCAACCCTAAACCGCATCTGCACTTGTCGAGGCTCAGTTTTCGTGGCGATTTGGGGTACGGAAGTGCCAAGTCACGGGATTATGTGCACGTCCCCCCATTTGATAGATGAAATACAATATGGTAATTAGCCGGGAGAATATTTTGGGGGCACCCTGAAGTTTAATTACGGGCAGTCTGGAAGAAAAGGCCTCAAAGGGGAACATGTTTTTCACAACCAACTATGCAAGGGCTCTTGAGAAGTGCTTGTTTTGGCTTGTGGAAGGCTAGTTTTTAGAAATGTTTGGCAATGTAGGAGATGGGAGGAAGTTGCAAGTCAATGCCAGTTTGGGCAGGACGTTCCGGAACCCGTGTCGCAGCCGGCGCCAGAGGTCGACTCCGACGTCTTGTACAGAGCACAGCGGATTTTAGCGTAGCGTGGCGGCAGAAGCAGCAGCAGTGGAGGGTTGTGGCTTGCTACCACAAAGCACCCTGACCTAAGCCCTCTGTCCAAAGCAGGAAATCTGCGCCGGTGTCCAGCAAGAAGCTTGTGTACTCCAGATATTTATTTGCAGGATTTCAAAAGAGTCGAGAGGATGCAGGATGATCCAGAAGTCCTCGCCCTGAGGTCCATGACAACTTATGAAAGGCAACTTGCTGATGCTTCAGTACTAGAACATAGTTGAAACCCTAAACCCTAAACCCTAAACCCGAGTTGAAGTGTATTTGGATTTAACTAGATCCTGAAGCCTAAGCTCTGGATCCTTAATCCTACGTCTGAATCGCTGTAGATACGGGAGCCCAGCTTGAATCCACAATTGAAGGGACCAATCTAAATCCTTTTAGATTACATGGTCTCCATCAAGTAGATAGACTATGGCTTTGGATATGTTATACTAAGATCCCCATGTACCCCATATTCTATCTACTGAAGGGGGATTATAAGGAGCCCAGTTTGGACATGGAAGCCACTTAGGATCCTCGCGGACAGTGGGGTGGTAGCCCCTGCTGGCACCCCAGAGCAAGGCCGGTGCTTTTTGAAGGGATCTGGGGTAGAATTTGGGGTTTGGGGTTTAGGGATGATTAGGGTCTGGGGTTAAGGGCTTCCCTTACAGTAAGTGTTGGGACAATACGTAAAAGCAGTGAAAATGGCGCCTGAATAAAGTCCCTTTAAGGACAGTGACTGTAAGGGGAGATATATTTTTGATGGGGGTTTAGGGTATTTGGGGGCTTTGGAAAAACCGAAGGGGGTCGCATAGGGTTGTATGGGGATTGGAGTCAGGGGGGGGGGTTAACTTTCGGGGTTCAGGGATCCAGAGGTTCGGGAGCTTGGGGTTGAGTTCGAGGGTTTAGGGGTTCAAGATTTGTGGCAGAAGGTGTGCGGATTCCGATTTTTCTTTCTTTTTTGGTGGGATGTGTGGTTTCAGGTTCAGGTAAGAGTTTGCCGATCTTTTTGGGTCGTCCACTCTTGATTGCAGATGGCTGGGGGAGACACGATGCCCTCCCTGAGGTCAAGTCTACATCTAACCTGGACAATTCTTGATCCCCCAAGGTACAGAGACTACTGTCTTTTTCCAAGGTTATAATTATACAGGGGCCTACAGGGTTCCGTGTTAAGTTGGGGCAGGGTCTGATTTCTGACTCTTGCGTTCAGCACAGTAGTCAATGAAGGAATGGTGACAGGCACTATTAAAAATGGGCATCTAGAGATTACTTTAGGGATCCATTCCTTTGTGCTAACGCTGGACCCGATATGTACTAGTTTAGGCCTCACTCCGTATTCATTCCTGCCTCCCCCATGTTAGTTTCGGGCACCTTAAACCCTAAGCCCTAAACCTTACACCCCACACCCTGTAGGCTTTCTTGCAGCCTAGCAAGTTGATGGCGTTTTAAAGTGTCTTGCAAAGCCCAAGCAGCCGCATACAAAACCAAACTTGAACGGGAAAAGGTGAATTACACAGGGTTTACAGTAAAATTCAGGGCAAGGGTGTAAGGTGAATTGCACCCAGTCCGACCAAATGCCTACCTGGACCTGGCAGATACCTCAAAAATCGCAGCCTGTGCATGCATGATTTTCCGGGTGAAGCCCTTTTCATTGTGGGTGTTCATCGGGAAGTCCAGGCAAGTTCGCAAAATCTTCGACATTGCGGAAGCAAACCCTGAATACTACACCCGACCCTAAATCCTAAACCGGGTTCGTACCAGGCAAAGTCTTGCGCGAAGAGGCCATAGCATCTCGGCTACTGACACCACCTGGAGATCCTAGTGGAGGGTTTTCGGTCTCCAGGGTTTAAAGTTTACTGTGATAGCGATGCCGGTGTGGAGTTGCAGGAATTTCGCATACACTTGATGGTTATATGGTTAGCGGCTTCACGGCAACGTATGGTAACATTCTAGAAGCCGCAGAGTTATGTTGTGTTAGGGACGTGGATTTTGTTTCTTCAGGAGATGGGATTGTATACTGCGTGGGTATTTGGATCCTTTGGGGATGAAAGGTGCCAGGCACCTAAAGCCTAAGCCCCAAACAGGTACATTGGGTACTGCCCCCCCTGGTAACAGTCTATATTAGGGGTCCTATTAAGGGCTATATATAACCATATTATAAGGGCTATATATAACCATATTATAATTCTTATCCAACTGTTACTGAGGGGGGCAGTACTGAACAGGTACAGTTTGTAGCACGCCATCGGTGCTTGGCCGAGCTACGCGGCTTCGATTTGGCCTTGCCGAAGATCGTTTTCCATTGGACCCAGGTGGGGCGCAAACTTTCGGTCGTGATGGTGATGATGATAATGATGATAATGATGATGATGATGATGGCCAAGAATATGACGATTTTCTTCTGTTGATGTTTGCTAGCATTCTGACAGTTGAGTTTTTGAACATGCAGGTGGAAGCTGTATTCTTGTTGTTCGGCACTTGGGGCTGCACCGCCTGGCTAGGGATGTCTGGCTTCTGGGGCCTGGAGCTTCAACGGGCTGGGGATGGGGCAAGGGAGTTGGGTGTCCCAGTGGTTGGACTTGGGGTTCGATGACGCACCCTAAAACCTGAACTCTTCATTACCCCTGAAACTCAGAAACAGAGAGGAATTCGTCTGTCACAGCTGTGGAAGGGCAGCATGTCCTCAAAGACTGGAGATTACATTTGGTGGTCTCTCAAAATTGAGGGGGGTTCCTCTTGGGACCCGAAAGATACATGGAGATTCAGGGTTTATGGGGGTTAAGGGTTCTGCAATGGTCATTTTGAACAATACCCGTTTGGGCCTCTAATTTAGGCTGCAAGGATTTGGACAATGCGAGTCCTCATCAGCCTTTCCTGTGTGTGCTGCCTTCTTTTCGTAGTTTCCATTTTTCCATTCCCCAATATACCCCCATACTAAAGCCCTCTGTGTGTTCCATGCCTTCCATCTTCCGAGGTCCTGGACCCTCCAACTACCCTCTACAAACCTACTAGGAGGGTCTTGGTTCTCCGGGACAGGAGAAGAATTTCGCCGGAATTGCCAGGGAAGGCTTGCGTGTCCCAGATGGTGCAGGCCATCGTTCAGCGTACTTCAACGAGTATATGGGCTGTCAAAATCCTGTTCCCTGCTCGGGTCTCTATTACTACTCCATGGCCCCCAATATATCGAGTTCCTCAAAATGACCATACATAATTTTGACAACATTTGACAGCATTCGATAATGAGGTTCATTTAAAGAAATGTGTGGATCATATTCTCCCCCAAGATAGCAAATCTATTGTCCTGTTTAGCAAAGGCCTATGTGGGTTTCCATGTGCGCGTGGGGAGGGCAGGCTGTCTTTGTGGCTCACAGCACGCTTTGGGTTATAATTACATTGAGCCCGAATTCCTGACCCTAGGAACGAAGGTAGTTTCCATTCGCTTTTCCAGAACCCCACATAAGCCCTATGCTGCGTAGCCTTTGACCTTTGGAGAGGTAGGCAGGAACCCTGACCCTGATATCAGGAGCCAGGACTTGATTCTTAGCAGGGAAGAAGGGGAAAGAATCCCTACAATATATTTCCTTATTCCCTACCATAAGATCCTCGCAGAAGTCTTATCCACACAAATCCTTCCCCACAAGCAGCTAAGGCCCTTCCCTACTCTCATATTCCCATCCCCCAATATTAACCCCCCTACCGCCCCTCATATGAAATACCGCCATTGTGGTATACATTAATATATTGGGCATGTTTGCTATTAGGAGGGGCGGGGGGAGTTTAATGTCAGGGGAGGGGAGTGCACCCTTAGGAATTGTGTTATTGTAGCAAGAGCCCCACACAGCAATTAAGCACATGATTTTCTTTGTAGGTGTAAGGGGATTACAGTACAGAGTTGTGCCCCCGTGCACGTTTCACACCCTGTGGTTTGAGGAGTTGCCGTTGCGCATGGGAGCTCCTTCGGAAACGGCATTTATGTTTCTTGCCAACATGTTGCTTGTTCAGAGTATAACGTAGTTTCCCTCTATAGGGGGGGCCCCAATATAGACCGCAAAATATTATAGTCCTTATTATAGGAACCCCCAAAAAGGTACCTCAAATTTGGGGAAATCCCCGTATAGAGAGTAAATAGGGACATATTCGAGGGTTCGGGGTTTGAGGCTTTGGGAGTCCTCCTGATGGGGCGCAGAAATAGCGACGACTTTTGCGCGAAACTTCGACATCAGATTTGCCTGACAAATTTCACCCGTGCTAGTCATTGTATTGGTGCTTAAGGGAGGGTGGGGGAGGGAACGTAGATACTATTAGAGGAGCTTACATACAGAGGGTATCATAGCGATACCTATGTCCCCTCCCACTCACTTACACACAAAAAGGCAATAGCTTGACGCATGCCAAGTGGAGGCTGTTTGAAGCTGTGTTTGCTGGGATTATTGGTACATGAAGCCAAACTGCCAAATCTAGAATCTAGGTACTATTGAAAGACACTACTGCCCGACGTCTTCGGGGCCGAGTCGTATGCAAACTTTTCAGATTGGATCCGGGCGTGTTCGCGTATCAGCGTTATTGTGTCAACCTACGTGTTCGAAACGCGTCAGCAGCCCTGATTCTGGTTCTGCATTGGACGAGTTCATTAGTTCTTCCCGACTTGTTCTAGCTTTACTGTACTCGAGCTCCAAATGTGTCAAAGCCTATACGTGCAAAACCAGTCCGCACTTGGGCAGGGGAAGAAGCGATGTCGTACACATCGTTTTTCATACTTTTCGACAGCTACTATTGCATTTAGACAAGCACTGGCATTCTCACAGTGTACTATAGCCACCCAGGCCAGCACATGAAATCTTCACATGAGAGCCCTGCTGAGTTATAATCTGAATTTCCATCTTAGTCTGCCCATTGTACGTAAGGAGTGAAGGAATGGACCAGGTGGAAACAGTTTTGGCTTGAAGGAATGCTAGATATGGTTCGGGGTTCTAGAGGCTATCTCAGTACGTCCGTCCCAGAGGATGGCAATGCTGTGCTTGATAAATCTCTTGCAGAACAACCGGTTTTGCAGAACGGCTTGGAACCTTACTTCGCCTCGGCCGGCCTGAGAGTGATTGCATCATAGCTTCCCCTACCCCCCCCCCATTTTGAGGTTCCCACTGAGCTAGCAGTACTTGATCTTGAACAAGCCTAAAAAAGCGGCGGATCTAAGGTTATGGCCCGCGGTTCCTTGCATGATTATGCTATAGGACACCTCAAACAGACCTCAGAATGATTTTGGCAACAATTCAGGCCCGACAGTATGCTTGGCCGAGGTTTCACCAGAATTCCGGTATGGCAAAGAGCTGTTTGCCTACGGAGCGCGGGCTTCGTGGCTTCTAGCATGGCTTGCGTCAGGGGCATTGCGGAACCCAGAAAATCAACTCACAGAGGGACTTCAGGTGGTATTAAAATGGACGTTGAAGCAATCATGCATATCAGGCAGCGCAAATCGAATCACAAGCTGTCGTTTTGAAATACCAAGGCAGAAATGAGTAAGAATACTGCACAAGGCCTGGATCTAGCACTTTCGTCAATCATGGAGGCCCTTCACAACCCCTACTGGTCAAAGGATGAATGGTATTCTTGTTTGCGTAACGTCGTTGAGTTCCATCACATCCCCACTCCTACCACGTTACCGGAATGGAAATCTCGTACTTGGGATCGTTGGTCACATCCGTTCATCTGTAGGGTAACCTGGTTTAACAGCACTCTCATCTATCAGGAAGATGGTCGCACGCACTTCAACGGTTGCTGGAACACACGGAGACGGGTCCTTGGATTGAGGCCATACAGAACCACTGTAGGTGGCAAATCATGTCGCAAGCCTATACCCACTCTTTTGTGTTCAGTTCCTTGTGTCCGTTGCCGAGTCCAACGATACCAAACTCGACATACAAGAAGCCGTCCATCAGTTGTACTCCGAAGAGTCGCAGTATAGCGAACTAGTTCCTGTTATCCTGTTGGAGGAAATTCCTGACGATGGGGTGTATAGAGTATGCAGTTTGTGATTGTGCATTGATAGTCGGGAATTTCACTGCTTGAATTTCGTGGTGAATTGGCCGGACTCCAAGAGTGGCTGGCCTGCCCGGCTATGCACAGCAGCTGACGAACCCGAGTCTGCGAGAGAGAGAGCGAAAGAGAGAGACCCGCCCTCGTAGTGGGCTGGTAGATTTTGAAAAATCTATCTTGTCCTCTACCTCCGACCGGAGCCTGACTGCAGTGCTCAATGGCAACGTGTCCCAGGAAACATAACATTTCTGAGTGCAATAACGGCTATATGGTGGGGATGCTCGAGGTAAACAATTTTGTGTTGACGGTGATAGCCTATCCTGTGTAAACCCTTATATGTTCCATTTCAAGTTCCATTTGCCTCTCCCTTTGATTTTCGATTATGGCCCCGTAAACCTTATATATATATATAGATATGCATGTCTAATGGTTATCGTTTTTTCGGAGATAGCACAGCCGGGCCTGTGCACTAGGTTTCAGGGTTTTGGGTTATGGTCTTAGGTTTTAGGGTAATTTTGGGTTGAGGTTTTTGGGTTTAGGGCTCAAGGGCCCCTTACCCCCTTCCCTACACTTGCAAAGCACTCTAAGCCCTAAATCCTAAGCCACACATGATGTAGTGGCGCCCATTCCCCACAAAAAGAGCAGGGAGTCTTGCTTAACATGTCGAAATCTCTAAGTCCTAAACATTAATCAGCAAATCCTAATCCATAAGCCCTAGAATCCATACATCTTCGAATCCCTAAGCTTTGTAATCCCTTAACCCATATCATGCCTTAACCTATAATTCCCAAGCCTTTATCTAAGGCAGCCTTCATGTGCTTGGCATTGCCCGGGAAGCAGCACTTTGGAAAGCCACCCTCTGACGGCACCGGCTTCCTTTCACCAGGTGATGAAGGCGGTTCAGGGTTTAGGGCTTAGGGTTTAGATCTGGCCTTTGATAAGTCAATTTGGTTTATGCTAGGCTTTTGGGTCTGGTATTAAAGAGGCATGGGGATTAAAACAAGGTAGGAAGAACTCCCTGGTGCTGTGGCTTACGTTTGGGGTTCGGGGATTGGGGCAATCCCCCACCCATTAATTGATGGGTAACACGGGACTATTTTAGGTGTCTTAGGGCGCGATGGACTCCATATTTACAGAGTGTTACTGTGGGATTAAGAGTCTCCACCCAAAAAGGGTAAAAAGAAAGGTAAGACAAACTCGCTGGGGCTTAGGCCTAGGTAGAAGAGCGCAAGCACTAACCAATAATGGAGAATGAAATTGAACAGTCATTGGAACATTAAATTGGCTTTTGGGAGTATATGGCGGTGTATAGGGTTTTGGGTAAATGAGGTAGAAATCCGAAGCCATAACCACGCAATATCGGCAATATCTTCTAGTCTCGCAGAATTACATCAAATACTGCAGACACGGCTATTGTTGTGTAACATGCCTACGAGGCTTGACACAAATTGTTAAGGTTTAGGGTTTAGGGACGTCGTGGTTCATTGGGAAGTGTTGTGTCGGCACTAGGCGATAGACATAATTGAGAATCACATATAGGACATGAAATGGAAAATGATATGCAAACTGCCACCATTTGCTTATGGTAAGGGCTTCGAAGCGAGTATGAAGGGGTATACTTTCTTAGGTATGTGAGGATTGTGAGGAGCAACGTTTCTGCTTCTTCTGGCTTCTACATTTTTAAGCTACTATACTTCAGAATATCTCTCTGAGAGGCTACGACAGCGTGATTGGACGCGAAGGCCAGAGAGGTATTGATACTTGGCTACTGACTGGAAGTCCGTATTATAGGGGCCTGTACAGTTTGATTGCAAATATTATGGTGGTAGTTTCCTGGTATAACCGGAGTATAAGGCACTTCACATAGCTGCAAAAGATAAGTATTTACCTAGGCTCTGACAGCCCGCGCTGGCACAGATGCGGGCTTCGTCAATGATGAGAGCCCCCCTTACATACCCAACAAAAACTTCAACATAGGGACTGCAAGGCTACCCCAATCCGAGCTACCCTCATAATGCCTACGTAACCCTATATCATCCTACATAATGCCCGTACCGCCTATGTATTCCTCATTTAACCCCGCAGGTATAGCCCATCATATGCCTGGGTAAACTCGCCCGTCGAGGATGATCTTCTCACAAGTCAGTCATTTTTTGTTCTTTTCGATTTGCTTCTTCACTGTCATTGGCAAACCCTACAAAATCCCATAATCCTGAAACCCTAGGCACCCTGAACCTTGAAAAGTAGTTCCACTATATGAGCCCCATATGTCGCTGGGTAAACCGGCCAGCCGAGGATGAGTGGGTATTTTTCCGGCAGGATCAGCTGCTGCTGTGCTTCCTGGTGGACGAGTCGTTTGGTGGGAAATTTGGATGCTTTACTTCCCAAAAAGGGGGTTCTGCCTCCCCTATCTGACCGACATTGAGATCCAGCAAAAGCCCAGGGTGGCAAAATTCGACCTTACAAATTGTTTCACAAGCATATTACCACGTTTCAGTCCAAACCCTGAAGCCCTTACACCCTAATCCCTGAAACCTTAAACCCTCCTCGTTTTCGCTTTGTTGACGGAAGCGGGCCTTAAACCCTAAATAGTAGCTTCCAATTCATTTTCTGTTTGGCTCTTAATTATCCTAACCCCTACACCCCATGTGTATCCCTAAAGGGCCCTAGGGCTTCTTGTTGCTTGTCCATTGTCTGTTGCATTTGAGTCTCTAGTATCCCTAAAAGGGTTCCCCAATCCCTAAACCCTACTCCCTAAACCCAGGCCTGCAATCCTTATCTAGGTTGCCTGGACCCAGAATTACCCCCAGGCAGCTACTCACACCATAGTTTGCGGCGACTGTGCAAGCCTAAAGAGTTATAGCTCCGCCTTTGCCGCTTCTCCCTGTCTGTGTGAAAAAAGAAGCCCGCCACGTGGGTCTTCTGCGGGGCGCCCTGGGGCCTACCGCCCGGTGAGGCCCAGTGGACCCCCCGGCGCCCCTGCAGCTACAAGCAGAAGTTGAAAGGAAGGTGGGAATTTAGAGCGTCAGCCCAAAACCGCAAAGGAATAAAGTTGGGTGGATGCTTGCGAAAGCAGGGGATGGGAAGAATAATCCAACACACCTATTCTCGGTTAGTGGGGCACATGAAATGTGCCAGCACAAGATATGCCGCCCCCCCGCAACTTTGGGTGTGTTGGGGAGCCGTTTCAAATTCCTACATTGTGCCTCTACAGCCACTGCACAGCAAGACGCCCTAAACATAATCCCTAAATCCTGAGCCCTAAGCTGCGTGGGCCTGGAGGCTTGGCCTGGTTATGGCGAAGGAGGCGGCCTTCTCAGCCATCAAGGTTGGGTTGAGGGTTTAAGGGTTTAAGGTTCGTTTTAGGGTTTGGGACCGCGAAGAGACCCAAAGGGTTTGGGCTTTGGGGTTTAGGATTTAGGGTTTAAAGTTCAGGGCAGTTGTCTAATCATAGTTATTGGGATTGCATGTTATGCTGTAGAATTTCTTGAGTTGGGAATTCTGATTCGAGGCCTGGTATAAGGCTCTAGCATGAAGGGGTGGCGGGGATGGATGTAGGGGAGTGTCAATGTTTTGGTAACCCCAATTAAATCCCTAGAGCAAAGACCCTACACCAGCCATATGATGATTATGGACCTGGCTTTGGAGATCAGAGTTTTCCAAGGTCTTCTTCGTCAAAGAAGTTCTGCGGCAGGTAGTCCCTAATGTCAACTCGTCCTTATAAGAGACCTCATATATGCGTGTGAGCATACTTTTAACTATGAAGTGGCGTTTGATATTAGGGGGCGGCAATAGTCCGTGTAGGTGAGCACTCAAAATCTTTGCCTGGGCCGTAGGGATGTCTGGAGGTTAACATCGTATTCTGGCGAGTATTCTGTTGGCATGATTTTGAGAAATTCCCGCAGAATCACCCGAAAACATCCCCAGAACCCCTTTCCTGTGAGATTGTGGAGCTGTTTGCTCACGAGCCCTTCAGAGTGGAATCCCCACATGTCCCCAGGCCTTTATGGATACTCCTAAGCTCATCCCTAAGCCCTATACCCCAAGTCCAAAGCCCCTAAATCCTAAATCCCAAGCTCAAAATTAAAGCCCTAGGATGACGAGACTGAGATTGAAGGTAAGAGACGGATTATATAGGGAGGCTGCTATCCGGATCGATTCCTCCATTCCCTGCCTACATATGCGAACCTGGTGTAGCTAGTGTCTTGCATGATGAGCCTTGGTCATGTTGGCTATGTCTACAGAATGTTTGTACCTAAGCTGCAAACTCTAACCTTCAACCCTTCAACCCTAAACCTCAAACCCTAAACTCCCCACCCTAAATCTTAAAACCTAAACTTTAAACTCTAAGCCCTAAGCCTTAAGCCCATTTGTCGTGGTCTGGACGTCAGAGGTGCTACATCAGCCCTGGCCGCAGCGTACAGAGCCAGCCACGCCTCTCTCAGCGCCGCCCAGTGAAGCGCAGGTGGGTTTAGGGTTTTGAGTTTTGGGCTTTCAAGGCTATTGGATAAAACTTCCAGGAATATATAGAGATAGTGGAAAAGAAACTGGAACCTGCTATTCAGGGTTGGGGGCTTAGGGATGTTTACGGTTTAAAGTTTCGGGTTCTTTTTAGGTTGAAGGGTTAAGGTTTGGGAACGGGCACAATGGCAAGCAGCAAGGGAGCAGTCACATCATTGAAGCAGTGGTACACAAATTATGGCTTTTGTCGTTCTCGCGGGAGTAGTGTGGTAGAAGATGAAAATACTAGCAACAACCAATGTTATGAGGAAGCAAGCCGGGATGCCTTGACGTAGCACGCCTAAGAGTTTAGGAAGTAGCATCCTTTGTATTAAGCTGGTCAGAATTTCGGGCTGAACATCACCTACACCCCTACAGCTTTAAGTTCAAATTCCAGGGTGTTTGGCTTCCAAGTCAAAAGGTTCTTTGGATATTCTCCCATTATGTGTTCCGCGAGGTTGTGTCTGCAATTGTTATTGTTTGGGAAAGATGGCATGTGACCTCTATTTGGACATTATGCGTGCGAGTATGTTCGCATCCTTAAAAAGGTTCCCGGTCTTGCAATACTGTGGCAGTCTTGAAAATGCTTGGATCCTCCCAGGGCCAGCCGTATGCCACTCATCGTGTCTTCATCGATCATTCTGGTATGTTCTCTTGTAATGCCTTCCTCTGTTACCCCTCCCGCCTTGATTAAATCCTCCAGTGCCTTATATTACAATACAATGTTCAATAATAGCTGGGAATTCAACTGTTTTATTGTGGGTGAGGTTTTCCGCTTGTTAGATCTTATGAGCCCCTCAAGTCATGTTTGGGTCCTAGCAGAGAAACTTCAGCTCCAAATCCACATCCTGACACAAAGCCAGATAGAACTCAATTTACAGGGACTCCTATTTTCTACGCTCGGGTCCTAATGGAGAATCATGGGATCCACCAGCCCATCCTATAGACCTGTGAGCAACCCCTATATTAATATGCGATATATCCTTGTATAGCCCCTTTTTAATCCCTGCATAAGCTTTGTATTACCCTAAACCTGAAACCCTACACCATGTCCTTACAGAAGCTACCCTCTCTTCCTTTCTCCGCAGGCTGAGGACCTGCGGCGAGGTCGATGGCAGCGGCTTGGCAACACCGAAGCTGGCGGCTACGGCACTCAAGCGCCCAGGGATGAATATGGGAGGGTATAGGGGTTATGTAGGTGTCACATACGGCAATGTAGGGCTTATTTAGGGAAATATGGGGGTTGTACATTCTAGGGGTAGATTGATGCTTACCGGACAAATTCTAGCAACTTCGCCCGCCCTCATCTGAAATGGTAGTTGCAAACAAAATGTCCCCAGATTGGCAATTGTGGAATATGGTGTATGCAGCATTATATGGTATGATTGAGGATGAAAATTTCAACAACTATACTGTCCGTAGCGCTAGTAGTCATTCCAGTACTAGTACCATTACTACGACCACTGCGCGAGCAGGAGGGCAGCGGTATTTGCAGTAGTGGAGGTAAGAGTAGAAGTAGAGAAAGAAGTAGAGGTATAGCAGCAGCAGCCGCCGCCGTAGTAGCCGCAGCAGCAGTAGTGGTGGTAGTCGTAGTCGTAGTAGTAGTAGTAGTAGTAGTAGCAGCAGCAGCAGTAGTGGTAGTGGTAGTGGTAGTAGTAGTAGTAGTGGTCGTAGTAGTGCATGCCAAATATGCAGCAAATTGAACACTGCCTAACATGAGAGCTTACAAGAGAATGACTGGCAATAGTTCTAAATCCCTGAACTCTGAACCACTAAACCCCCCTTGAAATACATAAGCATTGTATATGAATAATACCAGAAGATGTCACATGCTCGTATGGAAGTCAACAGCTTGATATACACAACTGGAGCACGGGAATGAAAGCAGACCTTGTATGAGGACCGGCAAGTCTCGCAAGCTTAGATTTATACTCCCCGTTAAGTGGATAGAACATGTAGTGTATGGCTATCTTAGTATAAGATTGGGCACTTTCATATTCTATCTACTTAAGGGGGACTATAAATTTAGGTCATCATGTGCATAGTCGCTTTGACATGTAGAATGGGGTATTGGGCAATATTTTGTTTTGTGTCCAAAGGTCTGCATCCTTTAGCATTGCAGGTTTAGATGTTCAAACGATCAGTTCTTCTGATACCGGATATCATATCAGTGTCTTTAGCCAGGGTTGAGGGAGGTGTGCATTTTTTCGGAAAGGCCTCACATAGCTCGCATACCTTGTAGTCTGAACACCTTGATCGGGACTATGGGGGTTACTGAGGGGGGTTACGTGGAGTTTAGACTATGGCTCATAGCTATCCTTGCAGCCTGTAGAAGCTGGAAGATTGATGGGTTCTCCTAACCACTCCCTATACAACCCTTTTAAGGTTCTCATTTACTTGTGTACAATTGAGGCGAATCTTGGGGGGGAGGCTGGTGTGGAGGGGGGTGGTTAGGTAACCCATAAGAGATCCATTCGCACCCTGACCCTTCTGAGGCCTCAGAAGCTTTGCCCAGCGCTGGCCGCTGGAGAGACCGGCGGTGGCAAGCAGAGCTGGTTCATGACGCAAAAAGGGGGTGCCCAGTGACTTGCAATCCCCCACAGTAGTAGAGAGTGTTTGGTAGTTCCGCAGTACTTAACTTGGAGCCCCAACAGTTTTGAACATGTACTGGAATCAGGGCTTAAAGCTAAGGGCTTGAGCCCTTGGCGTGGTGTGCATGCGGCTACTTTTAGTTCTGACCTTAGGCTGCTTTTGCTAGCAAAAGGGTTTCGTCAATCCCCGAAAACAATTTTGGGGATTCTTTGAATGGGGTTTTATCTAAGGACTATAGGGGGTCACATAGGAATTCTCCAAGCCCCAAACCCAATAACAAGCAGTCAGATGATAGTCATGAGGTCCTCGTCTCTAGGGTGGAGATTGCCAAAATACGCTGAACAATTATTGCCTAAGGTTCGAATCATAGAAGTTAGAAAGTGAGCACAGATATCCCCGCTGTTAACTTATGGAACCCTCCCGGAGTCACAAGTGCATTAGGCAAGAACCTGTTAGTAAGCGTGAGGGTTTAGGTGCCACCACATCTTGGCCAATCCTTGTTCATCCTTGTGAAGATCGTCAGGAAATAGCTCGCTCCTTGGCCACCAAAGCCTACGGGGCACACCTAGCCCTCCTATTATAGTTTTAGCTGGCGGAACTTGCAGTAGGTGTCCCCCAAGGACGAGGTACAGCACTTTGAGGAGCAGGGGGGCTTAGTAAAAATGCTCATTACAACCCCTATAAGCCATAGAATAGCCCCCTTCATCCCCATAAGTCTGCTTGCCCCTCCACGTAGGAAGTCTAGGGGCCCCCGTGGGTCCGAAGGACGAAGTTCCAGCACATTAGCAGAGCAAGCCTTCAGGAGCCAAAGATAGGATGGCTCTTGCAGATTCTAGAGATTCTAGGGTTTAGGTTGGGTACTGCCCCCACCCAGTAACAGTCTATATTAGGGTCCTATTAAGGGCTATATATAACCATATTGTAGTTATTATCCAACTGTTACTGAGGGGGGGCAGTACCCAAGGTTTAGGGGTTAAGGAATATCACCCCCCCCCAATAATGGAACATCACAATGGAAAGAAAAAAGATCATCAAATGGAAGCTGGGCCGATGCAGGGCTATATAGGGCCTAGAAAATACCGATGTTATGTTTTAGATTTCTTGTATGATTTAGGTGCGTATATTTCAGGCAGTAGGATGGCTTTCCTCTTAAACACTTGAAATCTTACCTGGCGGGTCCCGGGGACTCAGCAACTATACTTACAACCCGCATAAGCCAGGTAGTAACCCCAGTTACCCTGATTAAAGACCTACCTACTACGTCCTCTAACCCTGAAACCTCAACCCCAGATGTTTTAGTTATAGTGGTTTCCACTGTTTTTTCTTTTTGTACCTCCTGGAACCAGAGCCCTTCAACCCTGAAGCCTCCTGAACCGCTTTCTTTACCTTCGGAAGGCGTTCGATCCTGGAGTGATGGCGATCTGCGTGGCGAGCCGCCCGTGTCAGAAAACGCTTTCCGCTCGCCCTCTGGGATGGGGGAAAGGAAGAGAACATGCAATCTACCCTTTGAAGTTTAGGGTAGAGGTATGCTTGCTGGTTCTTAGTAAGGAATAACAAGAGAATATGCTATGTAGGGATGATATTGCTTGATTCCCTACTAACTCCCAGCAAATATAGGAAAAAAAGGCGAGATTTGCAGCCATGCAGTGTTCGTACTCGCAGCGGTAGCGTGCGATTTGCGGCTTGAACCGCGCTGCGATGTAACACGCGGTTTAGGGTTTTAGGGTGTTAGAATTTTAGGTGAGGGCTTTAGGGTTTTAGGGTTTAGGGTTCATGGCCAAAAAGGGTTCAGGGTTGAGGCTGCAAGTCTAGGGTTTAAAATATCGGGACATAAAACCTCTCCCCTTATCTGCTGAAATTGAATGCTCCTCATATTGAATATTCATTTTAGTTGTCCTAAAATGCTGGGGACATATGAGCTATAGTCTAAACTCCTTCAAGGGGGTTGTATAAGGGATTATATAGGGGACTACTATAAAGGTTATTAAGGGGGATACTAGGAGTTTAGACTATAGCTCATATTAACATGAGCTGTGGGGTGAGTAAATAGTAGGCAAGACGGCATTCTTGTTTGCGTTCAGACTTTAGGAGGTTAACACAAGGTTATACAGGGATCTTACAGAGTTATCTTGGGATATATAGGGGTAGTACACTCCTGGAAACTAACATGGAAACCCAAAAAGGGCCCTATAAAGACTACAGTCCCTCTAAAAGGGGGATAGAGGGTTTCCATGTTAATTTAGGGGTAGAGTAAGTCCCCCCAACCCATAAGGATAATCAAATGGAAGGTGAAATCGAACTGGGCCTACGGAGGCTGTTCTTCGGGACACAGTACCTGAAACCTGGGGGTGTTACATAAGGATTGTGTACTGTAGGGGTTTTTTGGGGGAATGTATATAGTATATAGCTGGCCGGCGTTTCTTTTGAGAAAAATTGGTCCTGATTCCTTAGATACTTAGAGTAAAGTAGGGTACCTCAACTACACCTCAAGATGATATTGGTAATTTCCCAAAATAGGGGGACCCCAATACAGACCCCAAAATACTATAGTCCTTATTATTGGGACCCCCAAAAAGGTACCCCTAATTTTGGGAAACCACCATATTGGTAATTAAGCCCTGACAGTATTTGTACCCATCCTGAAAACCTCGGGAAAGTTTGAGTTGCCTGCACCTCCAGAACTGTACGGCAAAGTCCTAAATCTCGTAAACGCGCGCTCGTCCTTACGCATTTTAGGCCAAACTCCCGGTCGGACCCTGCTGGGTAAGGAGAATTGACTGCAGTTGGGAGTATGTCGCAGTAGTCCTTTGGTTCCGTTGATTGTTCTTTCATTCTTCGGCGTTGTTGCGGGGTTTGTTTGTCTGTGGGTGTTGTTTTGGCCTTCGGCTTTTCTAAGTAGTACTTGGGGATAATCTACAATTTCCCCTCTTGTCATACAAGGGAATGTATTCATGAATAATTGTTCGGGGCAGCGAAAGCGCCACCCAGCTTTTCAGTGTTTCTTTGGAGCCAACTTTCACAGTCGAGTACGTCTTGTCACACTCACGCGATAACATAGAGCATTCTCTACATGAACGAGTTTTATTTGTGAGTTTCTGGGGAGGACCGCTCCAAGAAAACAAGCATTTTGCAGTTGCTTCCAGATCTGCTGTTTAATCTAAAAGGGACATCAACTCTTAGACTTTCTCTTGAAAGCCGACCAGATAGACAATGTAGACGTTTGTTGATATTCAAGGCCGATTCCAAAGGCAGTTTAAGCTTTCTATGGCAATTCTATGGCTTTCCCTGCTCGAGTCCGAACTGATAATGCCCGCCAAAACCAGATTGTTGTACTGATCCTACGCACTATGATCTGCTCCATGAGAGAAATAGGCCTCTGTTTGACGCGTTAGAGTCGTTGCCTAAGCGGCTAAGCGATTCGCAGCACCCTTTTGCGGTTAGGGAGCGCCAAACAGCTTGTTGTAGGCTTCCTGGTAGCGCGGCGATTTAGGAGCTGACGCATATCTGTGGACAGCTTTCATTGCTAAACCTCAAACCTTGTGGAAGTATTCGCGTTTGGACAGCCATGCGTTGAGTGTCATAGCCTCTTGGCTTTGGAGGCCGGTGTAATGTAGTTAGCCGCTCGGCGCCTTTTTTCCATCGATGCTCGTTTCAAGCATCGATGCCGGCGGTGTCCTGATGCTAAGCGCTGCCAAGCATGCAACGGCTGCGTGGCTGCAAGGAAGACGGTTGTGGAGACTCCTATACCTGAGGATTGTCTTGCTTTTTTGTAGTATACAGGAACCCGAAGAAACTGTTGCTAGTGATAGGGATATTGTTCATTACATCATTGCGTGTCTAAGGGGATTGCAGGAAATTTCTTGTTTTTCTCGAGGCACCCAGATTGATGCAGGATTTCCTGGAACGCTTTTCAGAACTGCAAAACAGTTCTTTGAGAACTCTGTTTGGAAATTTCGGAGCTTCAGAACCAAGGTCATGCATGTCATCCCGTTGGGGATGGCCCTATTGGTCGTAACGTACAGCAGGCTCATGGTACTCATGATTTGGCGGAAGTACGTGCCAGAAGCACCCAAAAGTCTTCTCAGACCAATGTCCTTGACTACCGATCATGACCCGGAGCGCAAAGAAGATGTGCTCGTGCTCCTGACTTGTTTTCGGGAGTCGAAGCAGGAGCTTGCGCATAGCATCAGCACCCTCCGTGACACGCAAACCTCTGCACGCCTCATGGTCTTCGTGGATGGGCTGCAACGTGTCAACATGGACACCATCACAAAAATGGCAGGTGCCGCCGGAGGTGACGTTGAGATTGCGACACACGAATGCACAGACGACAAGAAGCTTGAGATGAATCAGGGGCCAGTGCCAGAGGAGATGGCAACACTCGCGTCTCTTTTGTCCCTGCTGCCTTCGGGCCGCGTGCTGCAAGAGCACGGCTGTGTGTGCATCCGTGGCGAGATCGAGGCCAGCACTCCTTACGAGATTTACGTTAAAGGACCCGGTTGTCCCCAGTCCAAGCGTGCCAGTCACGCGTTGTGCATGTCCATTCTGCATGCCGATTTCGACGCCGGCCGCCCCAACCCCAAAGCTGTTCTGTTGTTGGACGGCGACTGCCGTGTAGAGCCCGCACACCTGGGTGAGATGTTCCGATGCTTGAGACTTGGATGGCAAAGCATTGCAATGTGTGCTAGATGTCGAGTCGTTTTATGTTCCTTGGCATTACCCACCCTACCACAATCTAGAAGAAAGATCTCTACTTTTAGCTCCTTCCCTACTTGCCAAGGCAAGAGCAGGATTTAGCAGCTTGTGGTCCCTGGCCAGTGCCAGAGAAAGTCCACACCTCCTGCTTGCTGGCACAGGCTGTGCGGGATGTCATCATGCATCCATTGGGCTGGATGGGCCAGAATCTGGCTCTTTTGTCCTTGGAGAAGGTTTTTGAAGTTTTCCTGATTGCCTTGAGAGCAGGGCTGCGAGGATGAGGGGCGTTTGGTTGGATCTTCTTCAGTTGCAGGTAGTTACGCAAAGTGACTGCTGCTGCGTGCTTGTCCTGCATGCTTTGGAAGCTTTGAGCTTTCAGTCCCAGGGGCGTCGGGTAAGGTGATGGTCGGATTGTTTTTGCGGAGGCGAGCTGTGAGTTTGCAAGCCCTGCTGAAGCAAGGAGCGCAGCCCGCTTCGTGTTTCCGCTCAGAGGCTCATGCGCGATGTACTCCATTGAGGCGGTGAGGGCCGTGCAGTCAGACTACTGCGAAGGCGTCCGCGAGGAATCTGTGCTAGATTCGATGATGATCGAGAACGGTGAGGACGCTAACCTCGCAGCGTAAAGCCTGTAAGCATGTTTCCCATGAATGGGCACATTTGCTGATTAAGTTTCAGCTAGACGCTTTAGATTTAGCTTCTGGTCTGGGGCATTGGGCAAGCAAGGACAGCTACATGACGAACCTCGTCCACGAAAAATGCCCTGGCAACGGGATCCGGTTCCTGCCTCACTGCCATGCAACCCGGCTGGCAAGAGAATCCGTTTTCGCATGGGAGCTCTCAATCTAATCCTTCGGGGCTTGCGCGATTTCAAGCCTGAAGCTTCCCAAATTTTCAGAAAATCACCCAGTTGCCAGCGACCATGCGCCCAGTCAACAACTGAAAACCGGACGTGTCGTGACGTTCAATCAAATAAGGCTTGAATGAGACAATACCATGACGGCCGGTTATTGAAGGTTTAGGGTAGTAAGGGGCTCCTTGCAAACCTTATCCGTATGTGTGGAATTATAAGGGGGGCTTAGAGAGTCATAAAAGGGATTCAAAGTACGTGTTTTGAGAAACCTTCATGTGGGCATCCGGACTATGTTCTGAGGCTCTGAGGTGCCCGGTTATCCCCACCTCCTCACCGCAGAAAAACAAGCAATCATAGCCTGCCTAGACACCTGCAATCCTGAACCCTAAGCTCTGAATCAAAGCCTCGATCGAGCGTCAAACCCGAATCCCCAACCCCGCATCCTGAATCCTAAATGGCCCAAAATCCTAAGCTTCTAAGTCCTAAGCCCCCTAAACCCTAAACCCTAAACCTCTAAATCCTTGACCGCAAGCCTGGGCGTGCTCAGCCGAGGCAACCTCTTTCATGCCAGAAAGTTGGAGCGAGTACCTCGCGTGGCTCGAGCCTGATATTCTTGAATTCGCATTCTTTTGGTTTGGCGGTTTAGCGTGGAGAGTTTAGCGTTTAGGTCCCCAGATTTAAGGTTTAGGGTTTAGGAAGTTCAGGGTTTGGGGTTTAGGATGTGTTGACATGATGGGGTGCTCGTCGGTGTGGGCACATCCAGGCTGCTCGCACCAGTCAGTAGCAGGCAGCCCACTCCGTGACCGCCCTGAGCCCAAGCAATTTACAAGGGTTTGGCTCCTAAAGTCTTGTAGGTGTCCTGGCAGGGGTTAGGCAATACCCATGGCTCGGCAATTCAATGCAGCACCAGGCATGACGCTATGTACTCGGTTGCTCTGGATTTCTCTTAAAAACTGCACCGGACAAGGTTCAGGTTCACGTCCGAGGCCGTGCCAGAACTGTTGGGCTGGGTTTTTTGGAGTGGGCGAACCAGGAGACTTTCAAAAATAAGCTACTAGATGTTTGACTTGGTTGTGGATTGGTTGCCCCTTCCGGTTACTAGTGCAATGCGAGTTAGAAGATCTCAGGCAGCAATGTCGTTGGAAGCGCTCTTTCCTCGGCAACCGGGTGATGCTCTGCTTTGGGAAGAACCTCAGAAGCTTCAGAAGGAAAGTGTGCTGCTGTTAGAATGAGAAACCTAGCGTTCTTCAAGGTTTCAAGTGGACCCGGGTCTTCGTGGAGTCTCAGATTGCTTGCGATGCGCATCACACAGTATCCACAGCAATTTCGGCTGTCTAATTACATTCAGTATTGCCTCAACCTACATTCGGCGCGGAAGACCGAGGCCCAGCATTTGGCTTTGGCCGCCATCGCGCTGGGTCTTCTGGCCTCTGTGCACGCGTCGGCTCTCAGCAAAGTTTTTTGATATTGCTACAACAGGCTACAACCTGCCACGAACAACAAGAAGGTGTCCACCAAAATGTTGAATGTTTGAGCCAGGCTCAAATGCGCTTAAGTGCTGTTCCTGCAAAGTGATTCAGGAGAGCAGTCAAGTTATGCACATTGGCCAGTGATGCAAGGCTGCTTTACTAGATGTCAGTCGTGCTGCTAGAAACCTGCAAGTGGGGTTGGCAATTCAGAACAGATCCTTGTGTCAAACTGTGAAGATCACAGAATGTGCAGCTCTACTTACCTTGAACTACCCTGAGCCCGATGCCTGGTAATGACAAACACTCGAACGCTTCCTCAAAATTCCGGACATTATTTAAGACATCGTGCAAGGGCTGTGCCCTTGAAGAGCCTAATCAGACCCGGCATACCCTAAACCCCAAACCCTAAAGCCAGCAGGTATGTTTGCTCCTTCTTTTGGACACCTCCTCTGGCAGCCGCCACATTGACATTGTGGTTCTCCGCCTCAATCGGAGCCGTCTTGGAGCGCCACCCTCAGGTGGGCCGTGCCAAGATGACCATTTGGGGAATGACAAGCAGCTAAATCACACGCAAGCCGATCAAGAAGAGCAAGCAAGTAGCTCTACAAAATGTCATAGGTTCATCGTTGCACATCAACATTTCATACCCCAGGTTCGCAGTGCCCGTAAAAAGCTGAAGTTCATATATCTTGCAACAACTGCTTGTGGCAGAATTGTGCACGGATGCCATGGGACCACAGCTACTCTCCCCCCACCCGAACATGGAACCCCATGTTTGGCCACTTGCTCATATTTGAATAATTATCCTTGAGCCCATGTTCGGGTTCCATGACGGATAAATGCTTGCAGGTGGTGGCTCGCATCATCGGCCCTTTCATCGGTCCCATGGGCATCCCTTTCCCCGACTCTGTTTCGGCAGGCCGGTACTTTTGCTTGTGTTCGGTGAGGCTTGAGGGAATGGAAATGAACATTTACAGCTGCTATAGAGATTAGAAATTAAGGGAATGGTAAATGGAAACTGCGATGCATATTACTTGGTTTATTGCAAGGGCCATTATACAGATCAATCTCGCCATTCCCTGGTAACAGCAAGCAGGTATTAGGTATCCTGACCGGTTTTTCTCTAAAGTTCCAACCATCTTGAATTTGGGTCGAGTCCCCTTCCCTACGCCCTAAACCTCACACGTAAGCCCTAATTTTCAGATGCGACCAAGGCGTTTGTTTTTGACTCGGGGGTGTGCGGCCTGTGTCGTCGGGAGTTACTAAAGGAAAGGATGTTTGCGAGCGCAGTGGAAACAACCGGCAATCTGCATCTGCGTCGGGCTTTCCTGAAATTTCCCTATATAGATATGACCGAACAGAGATGAGCTCGGGGTCCCTTGGCCCCACATTTTTTGCAAAAAATGCGTTTGAATGCTCGGGCTCGGGCTGCGGCCCTGATTCCCGTGCATGTGAACAGCTTGGATTTGTGTTGGAAAGACTTACGCCAGACTTGATGAGCTACATTGGGAATGAACAGCATCGTCTGGGCTTGTGGGTGTGCACCTCCTATCAACACACCTTCAGAGTGATGGTTTCGGCTTCTGACACATTTGTGGGACAGGCTGTGCCATGTGGGATTTGTTCTACGTAACAGCCCTGCGCGGAGGTTTCCAAAGATTGGGGTACCCATTGCATACCCCATTATCAGGACCAGGACTCCTATTGTTGGAACAGCGCCAGCCTGAAACTTTGAACCCTAAACCCTGGAGAGTGACCCCAGAGTTCGTAATACAACTCTAGTGCAGAAGCCGGGAGAAGACCCAAGAGATTACTCAATCAGCCTCGCTTGCCTGTGCTAGTGTACTAGGATTCAAGGAAACACCAGTCCATATGAAGAAGCCATTACAAGGCCGCTCTTTTCAGAAACCCCATGTTTGGGCGCCACGCCGGCATCCCAGACAGGTCTGCACGCTGCCTTGTGGATAGTGCTGCTTGGAGTATCGATGGCGGGGTTTCCAAGGACTGCTGTCAACGTTTCTTTTTGAGAGCCTCTGTAAGAAGGACTTTTGCATATCATATTGGTGTCTATATGGTAGTTTCCCAAAATAAAGGGACCCAGTATAGACCCCAAAATACTATAGTCCTTATTATGGGGACCCCCAATATGGGACCCCTAATTTGGGGAAACCCCCATATTGGAGCCGCTGTTTTTGCAACTACCAACCAACTTGGAGCTCATGGGGACACAGTGGCGTTAATGTCCAGCATTGGCATGTTGCTGTCTTGATGGTGTTGGATGCGGGCTCCTTTTTCAGCACCCCATCCTTCGAAGTGACATTGTATTCACTCAGAACCAGACTGCATCTCTCCCTTTGAAGGTTTTCCAAAAATCAGGGGTCCTTCCCGGAGGTCCCCAGAAAAGGATCATAACATACTTGGAGTCTGCTGTTCCTGGAAACTACCATTTAGGCTCAGCCTCTACGCTTTCGCATCCGCTGGAACATCCGTGGCGGCTAAGCGGTCCCTCCATGTGACAGCCACGGCATTCTTCATCCTCCTTGGCCTCGTGCAGATGCTAAGTCCAAAGCAGTATGTAGTTGCTTTCTCTTAAAGTTGAGTACTCTTGCAAAGCTGCGAGGGAATATGGGTCACTGGAGACTACAAGGATTCTAGGAATGTATGTAGACTTCTTATGGGTAGTAGGAGGATTTTGCTCTCCTCAACCCCCAACCCCCCAAACATGGAGAGCCAACTGAAGGAGAAACTGAAAATCAAACTAAAACTGGGGTTACACTGTGGTGGCTTTCTCTTGGTGTTGAGGCCCAGCCTTGTCTTAAAGCAATTTTGAGAGGCCTTCGTCTAGAGACTCCTATAGTATCCCATATTCCGTGTGTGATACCTGAAAAGCATCCGAAGTAGGGTGATCCGATATGAACAAACTACACCCTTGAGCCCTCAACCTCAAAACATGTCACCCGAACTTAGGATGGGAGTCTTCATCGTTGCGTTCGGTGCTTCTGGGAATTGCAGAAGCACAGGATTTTCGGTGGTTGTATTCTGTGTCCTTACATTAGGTTCTTGCTTATTTAGCTTCTTGAACGGGTCCTGGGCTTGTTTTTATTTGGTTGTTGTTGCACCCTTTTTTTCGGTGTATCTGGAAGTTCCCAAACCCCTAAACTCTAAGATTTTTGTTGCCCGTAGTCCTAAGACTTTAAAAGAAGCTGCTCAAAGCATGATTTGTACCAGGATTTGCAGGCAGTTAGAGATATGTAAAACAATGAAAATGGATTTTGCGCAGGTGTATTGATATCCGGGTTTAGGGTTTAGGGCGCATCCCAGCCAATCTTCTTCAAAAATCAGGTGTGGAAGTATCCGGCATGGTGGGCCTTGACATTTGGATTGAATTGCAGAGATGGCTCAACACGGAAGGCAATAAGAGAATTGTGCTGTAGAGTTTATGGCTTAGGCCCGACAATGAGTAGAATATGAGTGTAGTGGGGTTCTGCTTTCCGGGGTGGGGTCATTACAAGGCGTGCCTTGGGCAGGGGGATTTGAAGAGAGGGCTGGAAGGGATCAAGCTTTGGTAAGAGGAATTCCCCAGGCTTTCCCTGATGAGTTTGGTTTAGGGTTCAGTCTTTAGGGTTGTCATAGCAGTATTGATAGTATAGAAGAAAGTGATCTGTCCTAAGCGGTTGGGGGAAAGCTGCATTGAGAATTTGAGGGAGGAGATTGGCTTCCGAACGGCTAGGGGGGTAAATCTGGATGTTTCTCTATTTGTTCAAGCTAACTTGGAACCTGAAACGGGCCCCTTGGTAGACTTCTGCCCTGAAATTGAGGCGACATGGTCTTCCATGTTAATGGGTTGCTGTTACGGAACTTGAACTAAGTTACCATATTATGGACATATAGTAAATAGTAGGGTTTCTTTGTTATAGTTGCTTAATTTAAGTTCCTTAACAGCAACCCTGATTAGCTTGGGAGGGGGCAAACCTAGTGGTTTGGAGTTGGCAGGTAGGTTTCTAAGGCTTTCCTGCACAGTTCCGCTGCGTTTTGTTCTTGTCAGCTCTTAAAGGCCCTGAATCTACACTATTTCAGTGCTACTAGAGACTTTAGGGTCAAATAGCCCGTAGTGAATAACTGCAGTTTTGACGATCTGGCACACTGGGTTTTGGGATTTATTTGCCCAGCGTGGCAGAGCCAGGGCGCACAAGCTCCAAGTCCTAAGCTTTGAGGCCATAAGAGCTTTAGTCTAAACTCCTCAAAGGGCTTTACACGGGATTATATAATTAGGGTACTACTGTAGGGTTTTTTAGGGGGGATGATAGGGGTTTAGATGAAAGCTCATAAGCGTTAACTGTCGTTGGCCAACAAGTCTTTGCTGAAATTGACACAGCTGCCTTCTTTCTACCACACAACCAGGCATCATCCCCTCATGTAGTCCCTTATAGTTACCCGGGTAGGCAACACCAGTGTTTCATAACATGCCTACCTAACTTGGCAACATGAATCAAGATCAGGACCATGGGGCCGAGCCTGATCCTGATGATAGCTCAAGCTCCACATAACCTCAGCCGCACATGGCCGCATCTCCTCTTCTTCCTGGTGCCGGTCATGATGTCCCCTTGTCTAATAATTGGCTCCATGATATGTTTTAGTGGGACAAAAGGTCTTTAAAGGGCACTTGTTTGGCCATTCCGCATGGTAAGTTTGCATCAGGTGATCAAAGACACTTCAGGTCGCCTTCAATGAGTGGGATCTCCCTTTTACATGAGTGTTGGGGTAATGCTGAGTCCTGATTAGTGTAGGGGGACCCCCCCCACCCAAACAAAAAAGGGTCCCTCATTAATATAGGGGGTGGCCCCAAACAAATCTGGATCCTAGGTTTAAATCAATTTCAATAGGAGGAATCAGGATCGGCTCAGATTCAGGTTTAAAATTCAATAGGAGGATCAGGACCGGCTTCCGTAATGGATCAGAAGGGTTTCGGAAGGCATTCAGAAAAAGTTTGAGGAGTTCAGAGGATTTCAGTGTTCAGAAACCTTTCAGAAGGTTTTGAGGAGAATTCTAGAAAGGATCCTAAGAAAAGAGAGATCTTGAAAGCTTTGCTTTTAAGTGATGAGCCTTTAAAAGTAATGAAAAGGTTTTTGCTTTCTACTACTTTTAGGGTCCCCCGTTTTGGCAGATAATTGAGGGCCCCCAAAACATTCGTATCATTGAGGCTCTGGGCAGCTGCTGGACCACCCCCTTGCAGAAATGATTGCTAGGCCTCCTCGAATAGTAAACCCTAAACCCTAAACCCGGCTAATATGAATAAGAAATCGACAGTTTTGGACCCGGCCTCAAACCAGAAAATTCTGAAATTTGATGTCTTCAAAATCCGGAGATTTGAGGTCTTGAAAGCTTTGCTTTTAAATCCAGAGGCCCAAAAAATAATTAAACGGTTTTTGCTTTCTGCTATCTTTAGCGTCCCCCGTTTTGATGAGTAATTGAGGGTCTCCAAAAATTTCGTATTGTTGAGGCTCTGCGCAGCTGCTGGACTTCGTACCCACTTGCAAAGATGATTGCTAGGCCTCCTCGAATAAGCGATCTAAGAACAAATCGACAGTCTCGGACGTGGCGTCAAACCTTAAAACCTGGAGTCTTGAAGTCTTCAAGATCCGGAGACTTGAGGTTCTAGAAGCTCTGGACAGGGGGTTCCAATCTAGATTTCAAAGATCAACTTGGATTAGGGCCTCGAACTGATTACTTGCTGCCTGCCATGCTTTGCAAAGCAAATTAGGCTTCTTTATTCTAATGACTTATTCACAGACCTTTTTTTGGGCCGCGCGCAAATTCGCACAATTCAGGGCCCCCCAATCGAATTAGGGGGTTCTGAACAATGTCGGCGAAGCTTCGCACAATTAAGGCCCCCCCACCCACCCTAATCGCAACCCCCATTAGCGCGAATTCCTTGGCCCGGCTTGATTTGCTAATTGGCTAACACAGCGTTTGTCCTGGAAAATTTTCTAAACTGGTCAAGCAGGCTTCGATTCTGCGATAGTGGGAGTTCCAGAAGTAGGGCACCTAGATATGGATTCCAAAATGTCCGATTTAGGAACTGCCGCAAAAAGGCCCTGATTTTCGGAAACCACAGTAAAGGTTCGTTGAGAACGTGCAGCAGACGTTGGTAGCGGTCGCCAACGCTGATGGATCGGCTGCGAGGTGGGGCACACGCACCAGCGAAGAAGAAGAAGACTTCAAAGGCTGGCAACGCCACTTGGCCTCCAATCGTATGCTTGGAAGTCAGGTAAGAAGGTAGTGGGAAAAAAGAAGGGTGCTTTGCTAAGATTTCACAGGTTCTGATGTACCCCGGAGACTTTTTGAAGCTGCAGAGACAGCATCTTGGCCCTTCTGGGGCCAAGATGGCTTCAATAGACGGAGTACTGCGCAAGAGTGCGACAACGGGGCATAAGGGCCTGATGCACAGAGGTTTTTTGTTTGAACACATCCGAGGAGCGATCAGCACAGAAGCCTCGCGCCGGGAAATGGCAATTCAGATTCGTACCTTGGCAGCACTTTATGACCCAGGCCTTTTTTGGGGTAGTCGTTTATCAGTGCAGACATCGAGAATCATTGTCACGATTTTTGGTTGTTCCAATTGAAGGTGGGCGGCAGTTTGAATTGCTATGAAGTTCTTATATAAGCCCAGTTTTCATTTTCAATAACACTCAATGACATAGTAGTTGGCATCCTCTTTTCAATTGCCTTACATAGTCCCTACATAAGCACAGTTTCGATTACAATTTCCGTTTCTTGTTGCATTCATCTGATTTCTCCATTGTTCTACGTATTCAGGGCCGCAAAGTCCTACAACTTGCCAGCTACATCCCCCATTCAAGGGACCCCTACATGTGAGTCTCCGTGAATTCGGGGTAGCTGTACTGGGATACCTATAACAAGGATAAGGGGTACGTTTTGGGGGAAACCTGTAAGAAGGATATGGTGGGTACCTTTAAGGGGATACCTGCTTGGATGTTGGTTTGTATTCGGGTCCTCCGTTTCCATAGAACTTGCCTGCCTAAGTCCTTCGAGAGACCTGCCATATCGACTGGAAAGTCCCCGCTTGTAGTTGACCCTGACACTTAACCCCTAAGCCCCAAACCCTGACCCATGACACCTAAACCCTACCCTAAACCTTACATCCTCAAAAAGACCCGTGGTATTTACGTGGATCCGAAGGCATATGGAGCCGTCGCAGTCTTCTTGCTGTTTATTTGGCGGCTCGGAGTTCAGTTGATGTATTTGAACAAAGGGAAGTGGGGTAGTGGAACAGAAAATAGAAACTGTTACGAGCCCGAAGACCCTCTATAGGGGATACTGGGATTTGTAGGGTATGTGCTTTAGGTTTGGGGGGCTACGGTTTTGGAAGTGTAGGGCTTAGGGTTTTTAGGTCTTGATGTCATAGTACGGGCCTTCCCACGTGGACCAGTGCACCTTGTTGACATGCATCTTTGTGATGGATAGAACCAGTTTTCTATTACCTCGCCGGTTGTTGGTAGGGAATGGAGAAATGCAACAGAAGATGGGCACTCTTCAGAGGCTAGTATAGGGATGGATTCCTCCAATCCCTAGTAACAACCACAAAGTTGCACCGTTACAGCGCTATTTCTGCTGCAGCTGAGGCTGCCAACTTCTCCATTGGTCAGGTGCTGCTTCAACGAAAGCTTCATTTCGAGGCATCTTGGGTTCTCGCGCATTTGACGCCTGGTGCTTATCTAGATTTCGCTTGGGGATTTGATCAAGGCTTTAGTTTCCCATTCTCCAGGTTTAGGGTTTAGGGTTTAGGGTTGATTAGCAAGAGTGTTGGGCTCCCTGGGTTTCAACTTTGGTGCTTTGAGGCAAGTTGCAGTGCCGAAGAAACTTTCAGAGCTGCGCATGCGAGATTTTGTCTTGTGCTGTGCTGGGGACAGGTGTGCTGGTTGTAGGTTTTGTGAAGGTCATTTGCTAGATGGTGGGTGGGTGGGGACGTATAGCCCCATAGCCTGAACATTGTAGGGCTTAATTACCCATTCTCTGAGCACAAAAAAAAACTCGAGCCCTAAACCATGTGTACATATATATATGATTATATATGTATGTATATATATATATGTACAGATATGCTCCTTCCCTCCAAACCAAGCCTCAAGGCTGTCAAGGAGCACAGCGACCAACATAGCAGCTATATCGCTGATAGTACTAGTTATGCTCAACAGTATGAACCAGATCTTTACGGCGCAATGTCCATGAGATGTGAATGTGTGTGTGTGTGTGTGTTGTGTGTGTTGTGTGTGTGGGCGCTTTCCTCAAATGAATCGCTCCCCCAACCAACAAGACCATTCCCCCCCAGATGGCCAGTTGTTTTTCATCAGCAGGCCACTTTATATAGAGACCTTGCAAAACCATTAGCTTTGTATTGTTTTTTTCGAGGAGACCTCTAGTTGGAAATAAAGTGTCTTTAGATCCCCTCAATTAGGTACAAATACAACACACCTATCAAAAACAACACAAGAAGGCCGTCGTTTATTTTGTGAAAGATAGCCACGTTGATTACACTGAGCCGTCATGCAAAGAATTTTATTTAAGCAATCGAATACTGTCACTATTATTTGATGGATTGGGATAATTCAGTGCACAAGACGGACCAACACATGATTAATGATTCTGGCAGGACAACCGCACAGATTGGTTGATTGAAATCTGTGTCCTGCAGCTGAGAAGCTATGGAAAGCATGGAAAATGTTGGCAGAATGAACTTTGCCTATGGTTATCCGCACGAAAAACTCTGTTTCCATGCAGCCCATGGCGGTCAGGAGAATCTGCAGGATCTGTCTCTTGAATTAGATTCAAACAGTCCTGGAATCCATGCAATGAAAACAGCAGGGCAATTTTGAATTTTCAGTTTTCATGAGGATATCTCTGGGCCAAAACCTAGATACCAAGGACCGCTTGGACAAAGTTTGCACCGCCAGTTTTCACGCTTTCCTGAAATGAGTTCAAGGAAAAGTCGAAAACTTTGGCTGGGACAACTTGTTCTTCCGTTTTCTCTATGGAATTGGTGGCAAGAGTTGGCCGCGCCAACTTTTTCAACATTTCCAAACAATCAGGTGGAGACTTGAGAAATCATGGAACTCATGGGAAAAGTTGGTTGGGCCAACTTTGTCCAACATTTCCACGACTTCCAAACAATCAGCTGGAGAATGCAGGTTCATCTCAGAAGTCATGGAATTTGCAGCTCAGAAATATTTATGAAATTTGCATAAAAAGTTGGCCAGGCCAACGTTTTCCAAAATTTGCGTTGTTGAATTGGCAGAAAAGTGGCCAAAAATTCACGACTTGTAAAGGAGGAGGCCCCAGGTGTTGCTTTGAAATCCTGGAATTCGTGGCAAAAGTTGGCCAGTCCAACTTTTTCCACGATTTTCTTTTGGATTTTGTGGAAAAAGTGAGCTGCGCCACATTTTTTGAAGAAAGATCATGATTCCCAAACAATCAGGTGAACACGACAGGTTTTCGCACAATCTTAGGACCTTCACCTGATTTTTGGAAAGTCGTGGAAATTTGGGAGAAAGGTGGCATTGCCACATTTTTTCTCCAAGTCCATGATTTCTGAGCAGAACCTGCATTCTCCAGCTGATTGCTTGGAAATCCTCGATATCTTTCAAGAAGTTGGCCCAGCCAACTTTTTCCACGAATTCCGTGATTTCTGAGCAAAACCTGCATTCTGCAGCCGCTTTTTTCAAATCGTGGAAATCTTGGAAATAGTTGTCCCAGCCAACTTTTCCAAAAATTAGAGTGAAGCCCAAATCGTACCCTGCATATTTATGCCCAAGAGACAGCAGACGAATGAATTCCAATATTGTTGAGCACGCATGTGTATATATGTATATATCAAAATATGTGTATATGTATGTAGTGTAAATATATATACATATATATATATCAATATATGTGTGTATGTATATGTATAAATGTAGTGTGTATATATATATAACATTTATAGAGGCCTTTGTTTAGGCTTTTGTATTTGTTCTTAGGGGCCTCATGCCTCCATTCAAGGGTACTGAGACGGTCTTGGCAAGGACGTTTGGTTTCCTGCTGTTGCACCTCATCCTATCTGTTGGCTATTCTGCCTGGCTGCTGGCCAGCAGGTCTCACAGCCAAGCTTCAAAATTGTGAAAGCTTTTTTAGGCCGAGGTTGCAGCACAGTGCCAAGCCTGGATTCTGGAGAATCAAATGGAAAATGAAATGAAAGCAATGGATTCATACAGTGGATTATAGGGCTAAGGGATTACTTGAAGTAGAATTTTGATGTTGGCGAAATGGAAGCAGTGGGTCTACAGAGATTAGGGACGCGACTGGAAGCAGTGGCTTTATAGTGGATATATCGGGCTTCTATACAAGTTATTATTGCTGGCGAGGTTGGGCTACTGAGCATGGGTCCCTTTGAAGGGTGTTCTGTTGGGCTATATGGATTAGGGGTGAGGGCTGGGCGTAGAAAGTTTAGGACCAAAAAACCTGAAGTTTGAGGAGTCTGCAACCTCAAGCCCTAAACTCCTAGGCCCTGAGCCCTCCTCAAGCTGCAGATCTTCAGAGTCGAAGCTCCGATTCAGTTTTGGATCGAAAGTGTGTACGAGCTTCCCTAGGGATCCCCATGATTCCCCTATAATCACCACAGTCCCCATACATCCCTGGGCCTGGGGCCTTAGTGGGCCCACTATTCTGAGAAACTCCCATCTAGCAATGTGAGGATGACGTGACTGTCCCAGATCTATCCTAACCCCCTTCCCTTGATAATAAACTCTCCCACCCCGCCTCAGAGGTAACCTGTGCGTTGATGTCCTCGCAACGGTCCCCCTCCCCCGACTAGCAACCCTCCGCAGTAAACAGAAAATATTTGGGGGAATAGTCCTTTTTGCCCTAAACCCTAAACCCGGAAGTTGGGGGCTTACTATGAGGCGGAGGTGATCCCCCTATGTTTTCCGAGTCGTCAACCTGCAGTAGCATAGCCTCCCTTTGAAGGCCACGCGGTTGAGGGTTTTAAGGTTAGATTCTAGGGTCGCCCATAATTATGGTCTGCTTTCCCTGCAGGTCCCGCCATTTGGGAGGCCTTCCAGGTAGGGTATAGTCTAAACCCCGTAAAGGGGGTTATCTTTGAGATTGTATGGGGGAGCATCATAGGCGTTATTAATGATGATACTAGGAGTTTATATAGACCCTAAACCCTAAACCCTACACTAGGGGTTGTTAAGGGAGATACTAGAAGTTTTGACTATAGATGGTCTCGGGTCCATCCTTGCACCCCCTGCGTGTCCGTGCTAGACCCAAACTCCCAAACTACATTATCATGACCTTACCGATCACACCGCAGATGAGCCACAGTCTAAATTCCTTGAAGGGGGTTATGAGCTATAGTCTAAACTCCTTAAAGGGGGATTATATAGGGGATTATATAGGGGACTATTATTGGGCTTATTAAGGGGGATACTAGGAGTTTAGACAATGGCTCATATGGGGCATTGTATGGTGGAGTATTCCGGAGGGTGGAGGTCCTGCAAGCACCGGCCCTTTTTAGCGTGATCTCATTGGCTGCTAATTGTTTGAAAAGCGGCCTTGTCATTCCGTCCTGTTGAATAACTGGCTAGCCCTTCGACCTCTCACGAACACGCTTCGGCGTGGATGATAGCCATACTATGGCAAATTCTGCGAGGGGAATGCGGGAAACTAATGGCAACGCCTGGAAGTTTTTTCTGTGCACAGGAACATGAACACTTCCAAACAAGACACGGCCCTTAGAGACCTCCCAATGATGTCTTTCTATGCAGTATCCTTGGACACACCCACATTGCATGATGTGATCTACTTACGGATTCACAAGACGCAAGAGGTTAGGAGGTGGTTCTGGACGGTCTTATGTTGTGGTCCTATGGGGTTTCCAACGATTCCGGTAAGTGAAGCAATTCCTTCAATCAGCTTGCCGGTGCTTGGAGTAGAAAATGGCTTCCGTAGCCATTTTGGCTCACGACTGTATAACGACTCTTCAGGCGAAGGGAAACGGTACCAAGTAATGGGCAACGTCATCGCGCCAGCTTGCCAGCCCTGCTGCGCAAATCGCGAGGATGCAAAAGACAGCAACAGTCCCTGGGTACCCGTTTCCACTTTTTTATTTTGTTGTCTCCTGAATAAGGCAGAACAAGGGGATACTGGGGAACATTAAACCATAAGGGTACCATTGTTTGCAAGGATTTACTATGGGACTCTAAGCCCTAAACTTGAAGGATACCCTTGTTATTAAGAGGTTACTGCGAAACCGAGGTGCTGTGGAGCTGTCGGGGCACGGTGATGCGCTGTCCCTAGTGACACCTCACCTGGCCGATGATCCTGTAAAGGATTCGGTTTTGCCTCACGACTCTTCCGGTGAAGGGAAACGATATCAAGTAATGGGCAACGTCTTCGTGCCAGCTTGCCAGCCTTGCTGTGAAAATTGCGAGGATGCAAAGGACAGCCTCAGTCTCTGGGTACCCCAGTAGTATCTTTTTCCACGTTTTGCTTTGGGGTCTTTTTCTCAAGGCTGCACATAGGGAACAAGGGTACCCGTAAAGTATCATGTAGTGGATACTGGGGAACCCTAAACCCTAAAGGTACCGTTCTTTTTAAAGATGTACTGTGGGACCCTGAGCCCTAAACTTTAAGTAGCGACTTTTTATTAAGGTGTTACTGCTG